ACCATTAAAAAAAGAATTATCTTTCAATATAACTTTTACACTATCCCTTTTGGAGGGAGATAAGTTCAAGCTGCCCTACAGTGTTTAGTTCTTCCCTGTGAAACCTTCATTAGGGAGACAGAACTAAGAGCTTGGAAATAATTTCCTGAAGTGTCTGTAGTGCTGATTGCTTCAGGAAGACTGTAGAGTCTTTTTGTTTTAAACACTGTCATTATCAAATGGAAAAAAAAAATGAAATTCTGAGAGAACAGGGATTTCTGCAGTGCCTGGACAAGCTCGGAATACAGAGTACCCCCAAAGTGCCCGTGGACAGCCCTGGAATGCTAACCGCTGGGGAGGGATCGCCCACTCTAAGTTGCCACATGGTGGGAACTTCTTCTTTTGCCATTSTGCACAAGCAGTACAGTCTGTGAAAATTCATCCTCCGTGTTCCCTTTCCTATAAACACACATTCTTCTCAGACGTGAATTTCGGGTTTGGCAGAAGGTTTTATTCAGTGCAGGATCTTGGAAGGATGCGCAAGGCCCCAGCACGAGTAAGAGGCATGTGAGCTGGCAGAGGCGTGCGGGCACAGACCCGCGCCCCTTCGAGCGGGAATGCCCTGCTGAGTACTGCACACACCTGCATGCACACAGCAGGTATCTGCAGTCGTGCAGCCTGCCCAGGACGCGCAGGGCGGGTTGGCTCAGGCAGAGCCTCCTTGCAGCGCAGGGATGGTGCTCGTGAGCCTGGCACTTCTTCCTGCACCACGTTTCCCTTTGCGGAGACGCAGAGGCCATCGGGCAGCCGGGACGCGCCACCCAAGAGCTGGTGTCCTGCGGGATGGGGGTGCGTGGCCTTGGGCGCCAGCAGCCGAAGTGGGGGCTGCCCTGGCGCACTCTGCACGTGCTGGGCACCCCCAGTTCCCCCTGGGCTGCCCCGTGCCCGAGGGATGTGCCACGTTGTGCCACGTTCCGCCTAGAGCTCACGAGAGCTCCGGTGTCACTGGGTCGACGCGGGGCTCTGCTCCCGTCTCCCTTCCCTCCTCCTGCCTGCYGAACACCCTCCCTTCAGCTGTTTGCTTGGTTTGAGTGATGTCCTTTGGAGTGACCTTGGATTTTAATCCTAAACTCACAGATGAGGGAGGTGAGGACATGCTGAAATTGCCCTGATCTTATTTTATTCTKTGACATTTTGAACTTAAGACTGGTGCTCAGGACAGTGACATTTGCTCAGCTCAGGTATAGAGAACGTTGGTACGTGATGAACGGTCTGCTCCCCGCTCCAGCCTGCCTAACCCCACACCTGGCATTTCCAGACAAAAAGAGCTCTTTTTATTGTTTATTTGAATATGCATTTGTACGTGAGGAAATAGGGAGCTCCATGAAAGAGGCTGAGCACCAAATCTAAATACAGAATCATGTTCCCAAAGATTTGGGATASRGTGTTCATCTCCTGGTCCTTTGTATTTTCTTCATCTGGCAGTTATTCTTGACTCTCTRACATTGACCTTAAACTAAAGAAAAGTGCCCTTAGCAAACACTGCAGTAGGGAGTAATGTATTTCTCCATGGTTAGGTAACATGGACAGTATCAGTCTTTCAGCAAAAAACAGAGGTTTCTTATGTTTGTATCTGGTCTGAATCCCCAGAACTCAGGAGTTACCTGTTCAGTGCAAAGTCAACAGTGAATTCCTCCCAAATTAGAATTATTTCTTTCCTAAGGTTAGTATTCCATTTTTTCCTTTCTAATCTGAATCTGTCAAGATGAAAATGTGTAATAAATGCACATTTGGTTCTGGGTATTTTCCTCTTTGGAGCTYGAGTGTCTGAATTACTCTTCTTTTGCTTTGGTTTAGTTTGCAGTTCTGCCTATCTGAGCACAAGATGGAATTTTAGTAAAATGGATAAGAAATATTGGTAGTTTTATGTAGAAATATTTTTTAGCTGTTTTGTTCATATTTGTGGAAATGCTGTTATTAATAGGGTGGATATATGTGTAGCATTTCTTCCCAGATATTATCAAAATGCACTGCATTTCTGCCTTTGAACAGATAATATGTAAAGAAGGCTGCATTTTCTTTGCCTTACCCTCAATAAATGTGTATAAGCTGCCGCACAAATCTCATAATTCAGCTCTTCAGCCCTGGTAGTTAAGGACAAATCCAGAGGCTCAGCTGTAAGCCTCTGAACACAACTCGGCCACGGCTGCTCGGGGGGTTCCGCTCCCGCAGCCTTGGCGGAGGCGCCGCGGTTCGCGGTTCGCGGTTGCTGCGGCTGCAGACATTCCCTGCAATTAAAGCACGTCCGTGTGTGGCACAAGTAATTACTGGTGGCAAACGGCGCCGCGGCGCTCAGGCTGTCCCATCTCCGCCGGCCTCCTCTGCCCCCTTCCCATGTCCAGAGCCGCGCGTCCGCCGACGATGCAGCCGGTGTTTAGACATCAAGGGTCAGATGAAGGTCTCGCCGATATTTCTAGCATGTGAATATTGTATTTTGCTTGGGCTGCTGTCAGGCTGGTGAGAAGCAGACGGGAGTTTCTGCTCGGTTAGGCCAGCTTTGCTGCCTGTGCTGCCACCAAGGCACACGGTGCCTCGTGCTCCCGCCACGGGGACGCGCCAAGCGGGGCCGGGCTTGCCGGGGCTTGGGACACTGTGCAATTACTGTGATGGCAGTCAGTGTGCTCGCGCTGGCTTACGTGCCACGGCGCGAGGGACTCGTGTGGCACGGGCTCTCGCTGCTCGAGAGCTTCCTCTTGCAGCAGATGTTGGGAGATGCCTGCGCCACACAGGCGCTCACACTCGCTGCAGCCCTGCACGAAGCTCGCGCACCTCCTGCCTGCAGGACTCCTCTAGCTACGGGACTGTGCACACTGTGAGTCAGGGAGAGGGGAGAGCACGAGGAGCTGCAGGGACGGTGTGTTGTGAACACGCCAGGGCAGCGGCAGGGGTATCACATGAGGGATATTTGCCTTGGTCCTGAAGACCCTCATCACTAGGTCCTGGGTTTCCTCAGGAAAGGAAAACAAAACAAGTTTGAAGGTTTTTGCCCGTGCTCTGTGTTCACCTTAACGCAGCTGGCATTGAAGCAAGAGGAGAGCTGGAGCAGGCGGTGCAGCGTGGCGGAGCCGCGCGAGCAGCGCTGCGGGCCGGGCTCCGCTGGCCCTGTGTCCTCACCTGCATCCCGTGGCATCCCGAGGTGCGGGACGTGCGGCACGGATAGGGAGYGAGGCCTGCACACACCAGCTGCCCAACATCAGGGCATGCTGGAGCACCTCGGCATGGCACCGAGAGCACCTCACGTGGCAGCTGAAGTGCAGAAGTTTGACTCATTGTTCGTAAAGTAATAGAAAAGTTATTTTTCTTCCTTATTTTGATATACCCTTTTTGTTGATACAAGTAATGTTATTAAGAAGAGACTTCAAGAACTTAACGTCATTGCTCAGTCCTGCCGATACCGATCTGCGCCCGCTGAAGGTCAGGGCAGCTTTGCAGTTACCGCTGTGGTGAGCAGGTCCAGGTCAGAGGGCTTTCTAGCAAGGCCAGCGTTCCTGATACTGTTTCCATCTCTTTATTTTYGTATTAATCCTAGTTATCAGAAATATCAGGAAAATTTCTGTCCCATCGCTAACTCCTTGTTCCTTTTGGTATTTAATTCTGTGCTGCCGTTCTCGATTTTTCAGTTAAAGTAGTTTTCATAAGTCAGAGTTTTAAGCCGGCTTCTAAACCATTGTCTGTTGTTTTCTAATCACAGCCTTCAATTGTCCTTGTATTTGGCCGAGCCTATGAGCCTACGTTTGARTGTAGTGATTTACCCAAAAGCCTCAGGGCACATCTAGAGCCCAAAGCAACCCTGTGTCCGCGTGAAGGCGCTGCCAGTGCCGCAGTGCAGGCGCCGTCCCAGTGCTCTGGTCCCTGCAGGCAAACAGGGCTCCAGCGAGGAGAGCGTCAACGTGCAGGTGATGGGGAGCGGGGCTGGGGCTGCCGGGGCTGGAGCGACCCCGCTCCGCCGGCGCATCCCCGGAGGGCCCTGCCAGCCTCCGCTCCTCTGACCCTGCAGAAACCCTTTGGGCAGTGCCCTGCACTTGGTACGTGTGAAAACCTGCGCTGAATGTTTGGTAATACRGTTTCCAGTAATAACCATCTGTTGGGCTTCCAGTTGTGCCCATCAAACAATGATACTCGTTTCACTGATAATAAGATAAAATGTAAAAATTTACTAGCACTAATTACAACTTGGCGTTGGTCCCATTGCGGGAGGGGCTGCACCCCACGGCCCTTCCCCACCTGAAATATCCTTACGGGCACGAGCCAGGTGTTTGAGGAAAGTGACGCTGCCTTGACAGGCTTTTTCAGGTACTGAAGATGGAAACTATGACAGTGCTGGGTGTTCTGGAGGAGASAAGAGGGCAAGGATCTCCTTAAATCACTGTAAAATATTGCAGTGCTATTTTTTTCCCCAACTTAATGATTTCTTATGGCTTCTAGTGATACCTTATAGAAGCCATACYTTATATATACACGTAGTCTTCAGATCAGTTCCTGCACTTCTATACATACTTCTATAGTATTAATACCTGACTTAGGAATTAATACTATGAACTATAGTCACTACATGTAAGCTTTAAAAAAGAAAAAAATCAGACTATGTAATTATATTTAAAGACTATATCTGCATTTATCTTCAGATATCTTCTTCACTTCATCCTAGAGATCCAGTGCATATAATTAATAAAGCTGTTATAATTGATGTRTGACTAACTACAGAAATTACTTTGTTCAGTAGTGATTAGAAASTGACATTCTCATTTATTCTCAGCATTAATCTGTGTACTTTAGGCTACAACTGTGAGATGTATCTAAGGGAGGTTATCGAAAAGCATTTGTCTTTTCAAGGAAATGAATTGAAGGCCTTAAGATCACAACTGTTCAAGCGATGAGTCAAAAATCTTAAACTTTTCACTGCTTCTATGGCACTATGAAATAACTGTCTATTTTAATAATTGTYTTTTTTTTTTTCCCAGTCACAATATTCTTCTGTATGAGGATGGCCATGCTGTTGTTGCTGATTTTGGAGGTGAGGAGGGTTTATGAAAGATGTATCATTAACCTCAAATGCCCTAAAAATAAGCATGTGGTAAGAAAAATCAGGAAGTTGAGAAGGTTGCTCTTCATTTCATTAKAGATGACAGAAGAGGTTTTAAGGGACGAGAATATCCCTGTTTTTCTCAGTTAGCAGRTTCTGTGGAGTAGCCCGCAGTGCATCTGAGGATGAAGCCTAGATGACTGTGAGATGTGTCCCGATTGGAGTAGGTTTTAATGGTGGGTTAGAGGAAGCAGTGGGTGGAAGATCCTGCCATGGAGGAGGTCAGAGACGCAGTCAGGGTCTGAGAACGGCATTTCCGTGCAAGTCAGTGCTTGTGAGCAGCCAAACCCCAGGCCATGGGACGGGCTTCTAGCATTCCAACTGGGAAYGTACAGCGCAGTTCTCCGGCCTTGGCGCTGGCGGTTTGGGCCGAGGGAGCCGCGTGTCTGACGCCAGAGCGAGTTCGGCCGTGGCGAGCTGCGTGTGGCGCGGCGGCCGGCGCACTTGTCCGGCGGGCGCACGGGCACCGCTGAGAGCAGCCTGCCCCGAGCTGCTCCCGGACACGAGCGGCCCCTGGACGTGGTGAGCGGGAGCGGGAGCGGGAGCAGGAGCAGGAGCGGGAAGGGCAGCCGGGGCTGCGGGGCCTGGCCGGGCGCGGGAGCYGCCGTGAGCGCCGCGGCCACCGCGGCAGCAACCGGCCAGGAAGGGCTCCCCAACCACCGGGCTTGTGCACAGGCCCTGCACGYGCTCCTTCCTCAGGGCCACAGTCCTGCCCGGGGACTTACTTGTGTGCCATAAAACACAGCACACACTTCCCACACTGTGTTCATGCCAGATCTCGTCGTTTTTTGTGGAACTTCTTTTCTAACATTAAATAAGACCGACAGGCTCCCATGGGGTTGAATTTTAATGCAGGGCTCGGTTACTGTTTGTTGTAAATCTGAATGAAGTTACACTGGCCAGTACARATGACCCCACAAATTGGGAGGTGGGTCCTCAGCAGCCGCAAACTGCTGCTGTGTCGCTGGGGCTTGGCAGGTTTCCACCAGTGCTGACCGGTGCGTGCCTGGGAGCCTCCATGGCTGCCTGCATCCCTGGTGGAAAAGGAGCTATCGCAGCGCCCCTGGACTTGCAAAACCCAGGCGCATAAAAGAAGGGGTTTGGTTTTGAACCAAGCATTTTACAGAATTAGGTGGGTATTTGTGGTTGGTTCATAGTAAAATGTGTTTTGTGGGTTTTGTGTGTTTCAGAATCTAGATTTTTGCAATCTCTGGATGAAGACAACATGACAAAACAACCTGGGGTTTGTTTCTTGTTTTGTTCCGGTAAAAAACCCATAGGCAAACTCAGTTTAGGAGAATATTATAGTAGAAATATTTTGCTGGAAAAGATGCTCTGGTGAAGGTTTCTATCTCCTTTGTTCTCTCTTTTTTTTCATCTCCTGTAAGTATTGGAGTTCAACCTTTTCAGTAGCAGATATCACTGAATGCAAAGTATATTTTCAGTTTTGCACTCAGAAAGAAATCTTCTACTGTGCAACAGAAGATAATATTTTTGAGGTTTTTACCTGTATTCTATTGCCTGAAAAATTCTTAGTAAAATATCCTTTTTTTGTATCCACCCAGCTGCATTTACACACACATATTGCTGACAGGTGGTCCCTATTTCTACTAGGGAATTAGTTATTCAGCACTAATTTGTTGTGGGGGATGGTTGGCAGGTTTTGTTAGTTTTTGAATTCTTTCCTCTGTTTCAACAATGATCTCAGAGGGCCATCTTCTACAAGACAGTTTGGCTTCCCAAGATTGAATCYGGATGCATTTGGTGTGTCACACCGCAGTGATGAAACTTGACAGCATCGTAGTCACTGATTTCAGTCAGCCAGGATTTCATGGTCATCCTTTTATCCACATTAATACAGACGCACGGAGCAAGGAGCAAGCTGGGCTGCTGCAGACCACGTGCTCCGCAGGCCGGGGGTAGCTCACAGGAAGGGCTGTCTTGCAAAGAATATACATTAAATAGCCAAGTTCAAGGTACCTGTGCAGAGGCCCTGAATTTGCTCCTCCAGCTGCTTGCGACGCAGCTCAAAACGGAGCCTCCACAGAGAGCAGTGGGGAGGCAGCCCCCAGCCGAGTCCTGGTCGCTGCCCCCCGGCTGCAGCTGCAGCTGCAGCAGGGCTGATCACCAATGTTCTCCACCTGACAGTGTGGCCTCCACACGCTAGAGCTGGCTGTTGGGGGGTTGGTCCAGTAGCAGCCTCTTGTTTAAAGCCTGGTTACGTGGCTCTAGAGAGCTGATGCAGACATGATCCTAATGCTGTTGCATACAGAGCACAGTGATTTGCTGCCTGAATTTTGCATGCTATGGCGAAACTTTTTTTCCCCGATGACCTTGCCTCTTAGCTTGTAGGGAAGGGAGGCAAAGAAGCAGGGAGTAAAGCAAGCATATAAATAGAGGAGAAGGTGCTCTGCCTGGGCACAGATCCATGCTCGCCTGCTGCTGCTGTTTCCTGGTGCAGAACCTGCGCTGGATGGCCCCTGAGGTGTTCACCCAGTGCACGAGGTACACTATAAAAGCCGATGTCTTCAGCTATGCTTTGTGTCTCTGGGAGCTCTTGACTGGTGAAATTCCATTTGCCCACCTAAAACCAGGTAAGATATTCAGTGAGTTAACATGTAGACATAAATAACAGTCAATATTTTGTTAGTTTGTTATTAAGTGTATAGATGATGCCTTCAATGAAAAGCATAGAACTAGTTCACTACAATCACACTATTATTTGCCCCCATAAGCTTGTTTTGAGGTCAGTAAGTACACCCAGTTCAGGGACTGTGACCAAAGCAGCCTGGCCACAGCCCTTGTCTCCCACATTGTCACTGGGGTTGTGAAGTGCTGCTCAGTTTAGCTCTTCCTCAAGGGTGTTCTTGTGAAATGTAATATATTTTTCTCAGTGCATTACTGTTATCTTTTCAAAGGCATAGTTTGTGATGCATGAAAAGTTTTCCTTATCCTGTGGTCTGCTTTCTTTTCTTTTTTTCTTTTGTCTGCTCAAAGAATTTTGAGTGAAGATTCATATGTCTGCTTTTTTTTTTTTTTCCCCTGAGATTATACCTCCATTAAACTCCTTTGGAAGTTCAGCCTTTTGCGTGCAAAGTGCACAGCTATCGTTAACAACGTTAGTAATTAGTATGCCGGGTCTGTATATGACCTTCTAAATTGTATTTGCAGGTTTTCACAGCTCTTTATTTCTAACTGCTCACATACTAAGTGCGAAAGCCAGGCATCCGAATCGATTCCACTTGAGTAGCTAGAAATAAAACACAGTTAGCTGTCAATCTGCATTCCAGTCCTGTTTTGTGTTTTTTTTTTTTTTTTTTTTTTTTTTTTTTTTTTTTTTTTTTGCATTCCCTTTCTGCTGGTTATAGTATCTTTGTTCTTGATTGTTTAACTGGAAATCAACACTGTAGATTTTTGGATGCGCACCAGCCCACAAAGCAGCTGAAATTTGGTTCTGTCAGATGTTCAGTTGAGTAATTTTCCCCTTTTTCATGGATATGAAACCGAGACCAAAGACCACAAAGCAGGTGATTCTCAGAGGCAGCAGTTTCTGTTTTCTGACTAGTTCCCAGTCTCCACGGCCTCTTTCATTGCAATGCTTATGAAAGATATGATGTATTTACACATAAAGAAGATATTGGAATTACTGCATGTAAGATTTAGATTTATGTTCTGCAAAAAGCAGCTTTGAGGATGCTGTATGTTTTATAGTCTGTAAAATTTCTACGTTTTTGGTATGTGTTCAGATAATGACTATTCAATTAAAAACAAATCTCATTTTTCACAAAGTATGTATATCTAAGTGAGGAATGACAAATTTCAGTGTTCTGCAGATTGCATACAATATTTTCTAAAGAAAAACTTGTCATTCCCCACTCAGATRTACATACTATAAAATAGCAGTACAATCAAGAATACATAATTAGTGTTCTGCAGATGGCATACAGTATTTTCTAATTATGTATTCTTGATTGTACTGCTATTTTATAGTTATTTTTGTGCATGCTGAGAGGTCTGGGAAGTCATTCTGATCCAGTTAGGTGTTGAAATAATATATGATTATGAAATGTGATCCTAAAGAAAACTAGATGTCACCTACTGAAATTGATGCAGTTGGCACGTGAAAAGCAGCTCCGTATTCCCTGCTGAATCTGGTGCACAACCTGGCTTTGTTAGGGTGTGATGTATTTGGAATTAGATAGCCCTTTATCGAATTTTATAAGCAGTTTTATAGCTATTGAATCCAAGTCACTAGTTACTTGATCACATGGAAATRTGTAAATGAGATGCAGTCCCTAAGGAAATCCCGTCCTCGCTCGTTGAGCCCCGTTCCGTGCAGCCCTGCAGCGGGTAAGGAACCTGCCGCGTGTGCTCGGGCCCGGGAGAGCCGGCGAGGAGGAGGCGACGCTCCGTGTTGGCTAGGGGGACTCGAGGCGTTGTGCAGGGCTCCTGCAGCGCCAGGCTCTGCAGGGCGGGAGGGAAATGCAGCTCCTGGAAGGGGCTTGCGAGGCTCCACGCTGAGCGGTGCCTTTGCCTTCACACCGCTTCCTCTTACTGCCAGGAAAACTTAGCACGGCGTAAAATACAGGAAACAGTAATAGAGCCTGAGTCTCTAGCTGAAAGAAGTGGGAGATGGTTTGGCATGAAGAAATTTCAGAATTTTTCCAAAATATAGAAAGATGGAAAGGGGGGAAATTGCATGCTAAGGAACAGAGCATGGTAACTGGAAAGTTTTGATGGGAAGAGATTTGGGTTTTATACCAAAGACATAATTGAAAGGAAAAAGTAACGGCCTGTGTTTTAAGCACTGAGTGCTAACCAAGTAAACCATGGAATAATGTTGATCAAGCAGATAAATTGTGTGCAAGGTAGTTAAAATGTCTGTTGGAAAGATGAATTGCTTGTAGTGAATGGTCTAAATTGCAAAGATAAAACAGTTTAAGAGCATTAGAAGAGCTTGATTTGAAACTGAGTGCTGTGCTGGGGCAGATGGACTCTCCTGGCAGGACTGAGGGATGCAGTGTTTTCAGCCCATCTACCTCAAGCATCCTTTTTCATCCCTCTTCATCTTTTTTTTAAACTATGTGTTTAGCACTAGCTATGCTGGTACCTTATTATTTGTCTCAACAGCAGTTGAGGACTCTCAAGGAGGAACTTCAAATGTCTCCTACAGGCAGTATATTTTCCCATTGCCTTAACTCAGCTAGAATGTTATCCCAGAAAACAAAATGCTTGTAGGTGCATTTATGATAAGTGAATATTTTAGCTGCTGAATATTTCAGTAACAGACTGGACCAAAGCTACTTTAGACCCAAAGTTTTGCTTAATTTCAGAGAGACTTGCATAGTATTTTGTAAGMCTAAATTGTAAGAAAGCCTTTTTTTTAATATATATATATACATATACAATACATATATATATATATACAATAATGTGTCAACAATACAAATGAGACAGAAGACCAGAATTTTAATCCGTGGAAGTTAGTAATACTGCAGCATTTTTGCGTGYGCTGGGTGTATGCGGTGCGCGGGGCGCTGCGGTGCGCGGCGCTCACGGCGCCCYGCGCTCTCTTGCAGCCGCGGCGGCCGCGGACATGGCCTACCACCACATCCGGCCCCCGCTCGGGTACTCCATCCCCAAGCCCATCTCCTTGCTGCTCATGCGCGGCTGGAACGCCTGTCCTGAGGTCAGTGTCGTGCCGCCACCTCCCTGCTTGCCCCCTGCTTGCAGCAGGACCCCAACCCCAGCCCTGCATGTCTAAAATCCCTGCTATGATCTGCTTAAAATTTAGATTTCCAATAGAAAAAGTAACAATAGTAGCACAGGACATGAGTGTATGTTTGTATCTGTAGTACTTGGATGTAATACCAGTAACACTCTTACACGTATTGCGTTTTCTTGATGGCTGGACTTCTTTTTTCATTAAGTCTTTATTGCATTTTTTGTGTTTCTGCTGTGTTGGAAGTGTTCCACCTCACGAGCTAGTCAAACACAGGAGGCTGAATATAGGAGGAACAAGGAGGACAGAAAGAGGTGGTTAAAAACAGGTAGGAAGCAAGAACTGAACTGAAGTGAGAGAATTAAGTGGCCAGACAGGTGTTAGCAAAGAAAGTCGAGACTCCTGAGGAAACAGCAATAGAGGAGTTGATGAATTGGAGAAATGGAAATCCCTTTAGCCATAGCCAACTTAGCCATTCAAGGAAACTTAAGTATTCACAGTGTGAAACTTCAGTCAAGACTTGTTTTGGGAATGGTTTGGGACAGGAGAAGCAACAAGAAGTCGTGCAAATCCTTGTTTGTGAAGGAGGCAGCCACTGGTCTGGGCCGTCCCGCCGTTCGTAGCGGTTAGGCCAAGCTCCTGATGTCTGCGACTTGCCGCAGCCTCCTCTGCTCCTGCAGAGCCACTGTCCAGGTGTCCCTTGGGCACAGGGTCTGTGTGGGCGCGTGGCGAGGGGCAGGGCTGCAGCAGGGTGCCCTCGTGGCCACCCTGAACCTCAGCGGGTTCTGCAGAGCGCCCCGGGGCCCCAGGAGCTTAAAGGAAAGCTCTGCTTCCTCAGCGGCAGGGGATCAAGCATCCTTGCACGCTGTGTGTCAGAATTCAGTAGTTGCAGGTGAAAGAAAGCCCTTCTATTATCTATTAAGCAAATACAGCAATAAATGGAGCCCGTAAATGTTTGAAGGAATGCAGTTTCTACATTGTAGAGAACAGAAGTGTTTATGAGCACTGGCAATGTAAATTTTTTATGTGAAGTTGGTGCAGTGTGTTCCAGATTCAAACCGAAGCTGCTGCTCTGGTCAGTCGGCACTACCTGTTCCATCTTCCTTTCACTGACAGACCGAGTGATCCTGTCCCTTGACTAGACCAGACATGTTTGCTGTGTGGGCCCACCCGCCCCCAAAGCCACTATCCAGTTATTACACTAAACAGCTTGCACTGATTTGCCTTTATGTTTTTCAGAAGCTTTAGTCAAGCGGTATTTGGTATCTTCTGACCTGTTGAGATTTCCCATCAGAGCAACACTAATAGTTTTCGGGAGAGCTGCGGCAGGATGTCCAGGGCTTTGGAGGAAGCGACAGGACTGTCGTTGTTGCCCCTCTCCTCCCGTTCCCCTGCCCGGGAGGTGATGCATTAGCACACACGGCAGATGGTGGCTTCAATGCGGCTTTTGTAGCRGCGCTTTCAGCTTCATTTATCCTGCAAGGAATTCGAGGCACCTCATTTTCTGCCTCAGAACTACTGTCTTTTAGCTCTGCCAACAAAGACATCTCTTTGTGCTCTTCCAGTGGCATCTGAGCTTCTTCGAGCACCTTGTTATTTTGATAGGGTTGATTGCTTTCAGTCTTGCACATYCTGCACATCTTCCATGCACATGGTGCTGTGGATCTGAAGACTGRCATTATGGCCAGTAATGAATTCCCTTTTTCTGCAGAACTGCTGCCGAACGTGCTGTAACCCGGTCATGTAGAAATTACCTTTTTCATATAGTGCTGTTGTTATTTGCTCCTCATTATCCAAAATGTGTAGTATATTTTCTGATTCTGAAATCATTTTTCTGCCTGAAAATATTGTTTCCAAATTTGGTTCATTTTTATTAAGTGGTGTTTTATTTCCTTTTTTTTTTTTTTAAATTTCTATTTTTATTCTCTGCTCTCCAGTGTTTTCTGTCCTGTTCAGATTGTCTGCAGTATCGGTTTCTCCTTTCCAACTCCTACTTAACTGCCAGGTAACCAGGGTACTTGAGAACAAGCCTGGAAACTGGGGACAGGGTTAATTTCTGTTCAAATTATATCACTCCATAGAGATGTGGGCAACAAGAGCTGAATTGTAGGAAGGCAGAAGGCCTCCTAGTAATGGCAAATGTATCCCTGTTCTTCCCAAACTATTGAATGTTTCTTGTATAATTAGATTTTCACTCTGGATTTTACTCTGTATTGTCTGCCTTGTCCTCACAATCCTGCAGCAACTTCTCCAGTTCTAATGACTCCGCTTCCTGCAGGTTTGTTCCGGGGAGCGTTTGGCCAATGCACGGAACTGCGTTTTTGGAGTAAATCGCTCTTTTTTCATGAGCACTCACATGCTCCTTGGATTACACGATACTTCCCCTTATTTTCCTTTCTTTTTCATAGAATTTCTTTTCAAAGAAGCAGGCAGCTTTCTCTGCATTTCAKCTGGCAATTGCTTGTGCGAATGTCTCGTTTTCTGCTCCAGGTTCTCTCAACGAGGTAATCCACCTGATCAGAGACTGGCTTTTCTGAAAGGATGCAAACTAAATTTCACACTTCACAAGTCATATCCTTCTATTTTCATTATACTTTTCCGTTTGGGTTCATCTTCTCTCAGCCAGTTGGTTTTCCAGGAAGATCCTGGACAGAGGCYAGTTCACCCTCTCCACTTTGCGTACTAGAAGCTGTGGCAGTTCAGAAGCAGAAGCAATCACTGGCTTTTTGCAGCCAGCTTTTTGCTGCTGTCTCCTATGGAGTCAGTTGTCAATGCCATCTCATTGGCCAGCTCAGGTACATAAAAGCTAGTACTTCTTGGCATGCATCTTCCCTTGACCTTGGGTTCTGGTCTAACAGCTTCAGATCTTTTAAGTGTATCAAAAACATCATCTTTACTGTCCGCAGGTCTGCGGCTCCCCAGACTTAGTAGAGTTAGGCTGAAGAGACCAGGAAATTAAAGCCTGGTGAAGGGAAAGGAAAGAAGGGGAGTTGGAGGAGGAGGAAACGGCACCGTCCTTTGCGGGCTCGGGGAAGGCAGGTGCTGCTGCCACGGGCCCTGGCTGAGCGGAGCAGGAGTGAGGAATGTCCCGAGGTCCGTCCTTCTTCATGGCAGGAGCTGCAACCTCTCTGTCAGGGCTGAGAGGAAGCTCTGGTGGTCTGTCCAGCTGCATCCTTAACTCACCACTGTAATCTGTGTTTTGCCTGSATTGAATTATCAGGATCCATTCCTCGTCCAGCCTCCTTCCTCTGAGGCCTGGGTCATTTGTGAGAAACGTCGCACAACTCTGCTGTGCACCCAGATATTAGACTTCCTTCCCATGACRCGCCGTGCTCGTTGGATTGCAAGCCATGGGTTTTGTCCCGTGTCGGAAATGCTGCTCTCGACGTGGTGGCAGGGGCTGCACAGGCCCCGGCAGGGTCCGTGTGGCCAGCGCTTCCACAGCTGGTGCTCAAGGCAGCCCCTTCCTGTCAGCTCCGTCCCTCATCCCGAAAGGGGCCTCTCCAAAGCCGCAGCCAGCAGTTCAGGTCGCTGCGCCCTTTGGGCCTCCCTGTCCTGCAAGTTTTTCCCTGCCCGGTAGGGAATTTCCTTTGCTGAGTCTAAAATAGCAAACATGACCAAAAAAAAAAAAAAAAGCTCTCCAATGATACCCTGGGAACTTTCACACAAGASTTTTATTAATGCTGGTAAACACAAACCCCAGACATGTTACAACTAGTAAATTATTCTGTATAAAAGGTAACTTTACTCTAGAGTTCAAAACACGTTCATGGTAGTTGCCATAATTACTGTTTTCAGGAGCAATTTCTACAGAATAAAAGTCTAATACAATGAGTTGTTGCAGTAATGTCACTGGCACCACACCTCCCTCACATCCTGCAATTACAACTGGCTTATAATGATTGGAGGAGCGTGGCTGATTATCCCGCTCAACTAAATACCAATGGCATTAAAAAAATACATAGAAGTTGCCTCCTGGTATTACAGAATAGTGGTTAAGGGAAGGCTGCTTTGCGTTGGCCCTTGCAGTGTGTTGCTGAGAASGTGGGCTAAGCAAAGCGAGGCCGCCCGCACCCCAACACCCCCAAGAGGCGGCTCTGGGGCCTCGGTGGGACCTCGTGGTGCCTCGGTGTGCGCTGGAGGGAGCACGGGAGCTCTCACCTCAGCAGCCYGCGTGGCTCTGCCTCCGCATGCAGGTCGGGTCTCACAGAGCAGGTTGGTGCTCGCGCAGCTCCGACTCTGTGTGCCCCTGTATTTCCGAGCGGGTGGGCTACCCACAGGCAGGGTGTTTGCGGGTGCTAACGCACAAGTGTTGGTGCGTGGGGCAGCTCTGCAGGCACGGGCTGCTYGGTGCCATCTCACTGGTGGGCAGCGTTGCCCTGGCCCTGGAGAGCCCAGGAATGACGGGTGTGTTCACAACGCTGGTGCTGTGACGGGTCCCCAAAGCAGGATAATGATTTCCAAACTCATTCCCAGTCTGATGGGTCTCATCTCTGTTGAGCAGCATCTCTGAGCCCTGTGGGGCTGGTTGGGTCCCCTCATGTGTGAGAGGCTTTTCTTCATTTGAGGATTCCTGAGCCTGTACTTCTGGAGTGCAGAGCAGAACCAGGCCTTTCCCTGGAGCCCTTTTGCAATTGTGTTATCTGGAAAGGCAGGTGAGTGAGAGCCTAGCGCCGCCCTTGCACTGGGCGCTGTCCCCGCTGGCAGGGCTGGACCGGAGGGGACGCTCCTGCGTGCGTGCAGGCGGCGCTGGCACTGCCAGGCTGCACGTGGCAGCTGGGCCCTGTCCTGCCGCTGCCCTCCCGMCTGCAGCACCACCGCTGTGCTAAACGTGCTTGCAGCGCGGGGCATGGCCACTGTATTGCATAGATAGCTTATTACAGGATTATTAGGCTTCTGACTTCTGGAATATGCTCTTGTCTTTCAATTTTTATGGGCTGATGTTAGGATTTTTTCTATGTAACTACAAAGCAGCTGCTACTAATCATTGGCATGTAAGTCCCATTCTGTTTGAATTTATTAATAAGATGTCATACTAAATTGTTGACTTAAGCAAGCAGTAAGTAATGGATATAGTCACTGTATCTTGTTAGCGTTTCCACAGCTCATTTAGCCCCGATAAATAAGGACCCTTCTTTCAGCACCATAATGCACTTGTTGCTAATGGGCATCGCTTCCTCCTGCCGCTGCTGCCGGCCCGTGGCAGCACCGAGGCGGCGGCGGCTCCACGGCAGCCGGGGACACGAGCTGCACGCACGGCTGCAGAAACGCAGCAAGATCAGCTGCTTTAAGGTCTTCTGCTGCATGAAATGGCTTCATTGTCAGTAAAAATGAAAGCTAATTGGAAGCTTTTAAATTACTTCTGAAGGCTTTAAAATYTTGGGGTGGGATCCTGAGCAAAGAAAAATCTCTGACTCATTTTGGTTGGAAAAGACCTAAATACAGCAGTGTTGTTGCTCTTGAGCTGCTGTTTGAAAGGTTTCCTTGTGGAAGTGTCCTGCTCTGCAGCAGCGGATCTCGAACCAGTCAATACTGACCTGGAGGGCAGCTGTAAGTTCAGTATGGGGATTAAAAAACGTTCTTTTAAAGAATGCCACTTAGTTATGGAGCGGGGAGTAATGGGATAGCCCATTATCTATAGATATATCTATAATAGGAGGAATAGGAGGAAGGACCTGGTGGGCAGCTATTGCATGGATCACCAGAGCACAATACCTGCAAGATAAAAGCCAGCCTGGATGTCACCATCCCAGATGTCATCCGTTTCAGAGTTTCACTTTAGGTGCATCATCAAAGACATATTTGCCTCTGTAGTTATTTAAAAGGGGCATGGGTGCTGTTTTGGTGAATTTGAGGACTCAGTGCTCCCAAGCCAGAAATCTAGGAACTGCTTGTTGGGGGGGAGAGGGGAAAAATAGGAAGAAAATGGTGTGTATCTATGTGGGTTTTGCTGAAGACCTAGGAAATGCCTCCAGATTTGAGGATGCCTTCTTCACTTTGCCTTGAATTTTATTCAAGGCTTATCTCAGCTGATAACTAGTTCCAATGTATCACGTTGTTCCCATTTATCAGGTACTTGAACATCTGCCTGCTGCAAACTATTGACTGTACTTGTTCCAAATGCAAACTGATGACTAGAAAATTAGACAGTGGGTCTTAAGCACTGTTTTTCATTAGCTGCTTTAATTTGTGAGTTTTAATGAGATTCAGTGTATTTGCTGTAATACTTGGGGTTTGGTTCAGGAACACATATAAATATTGATGCYGGTGGCTTGTGAGCACCTGGGGCTCTTCAGCAGGAGGAACCTGATGTTCCCGGGGGTGCTTCCTTCTCCCTCCCCGCAGGAGCCGCCTCAGGTCAGTTTTCAGGTTGGCTGAGGTGCGTTTGGAGCCCCCTCTTTGGCCACCGCTCGGCAGCACCAGGGTGCCCTGGTCTACTCCAGCCCTGTCCATGCTGCTCCCGGGCCCTCTGCCCACCTAGATGAGGCCTGCGACTCCTTAGCGGCCTTGAGGGGTGGGTTACAGGGCCCGTCCCGGCCTGCGCCCCCTGCACCATCCCCTCYGGGGCCTCCCCTGCTCCCCAGCAGGCAGCCAGCCAGGCCAGGGCGTTCAGAGCCGCCGTGAGCCCGCTTCATTGCACCCATGCCGCCCCTTCCACTGCTAATGCCCGTCTGCTTCTGCGTCCTCCTCACAGGGAAGACCAGAGTTTTCAGAAGTGGTCACCAAGCTGGAAGAATGTCTGTGCAACATTGAGGTAAAGACCTTGGTTCTGCTGGTGGGTGGGTGATGARCAGGGTGCAGGCAGGAGGGCAGCGCCGGCTGTGGGGGCCACAGACCGGCCATGCTGCCCTGTCCTGCGCTGCTTTTCTGGGGACGTGGCCAGCAGCCATCCATGGGTGGCCAGGGGTGGGCACCTCATTGCCGTGAGGGCCAGGAATTGCTTGGGGAGGAGGGGGAGAGGAGGTGTAGAGGAGGCCCTGCCTCGCYGTGTCCGAGCGTGGCGCATGGAGTGCTCTGTGCGCGGTGCCCTGCCGGCTGCGGTGACAGCACCGCTTCCTCCCATCGCAGCTGATGTCACCGGCGTCCAGCAACAGCAGTGGCTCCCTGTCGCCGTCGTCCTCCTCGGACTGCCTGGCGGCGCGTGGCGGCCCAGGTCGCAGCCACGTGGCCGCGTTGCGCAGCCGCTTCGAGCTGGAGTACGCCGTGAACGCGCGGGCATGCACAGGCTGCGCGCCCAGGTGAGCAACACGGACACCCCGCCAGGCACTTGCTGCAGGAGCAGCTCCCAACACGAGCTAGAGCTGCGGGTCCACGTTTCACCCAGTTATGCCCACAGAAAGCAAATAATCCTTATTTAGGGTAAATCCACACCCGTGCCCTCTGTTTCATTGAGCACCAAGACAGCCGGTGCTCCCCTTGCAGACCTGCTTGTGCAGCGGGTGTCACCCAGCGCATGCAGGGAAGATGTGTGGGCCTGCGTTACCCGTGAGCTCCACTTAGCCGTCACTTTCAGCAATAGCAGGGAGCCCAGCCTCACTCTTCTGCATTCTGGGTTGCTGTTGTTGCCGGGCATTCCCCTGGCGCGCGCTGACCCGCTCTGCTGTTGCACAGTGCCGGGCAGCTGCCGGGACAGGGGCTCTCCCTGGACGAGATGAGAAGGAGCTTCCAGTACCCGCCGATCGACCAGAATGGTGAGTGAGCAGCGACCGCGGTCTCAGGGCCATTGCTGAGGAGGGCACAGGTGGACACATTGCTGAGGTGCCGCGCAGTCAAGCCGGACGCCTGCGGTGCTGCCCGGGCCCCCCCGGCCCCGTGACGGCTCCGCGTGCGCCCAGGGCGGAGCCGTCACGGGGCCGGGGGGGCCCGGGCAGCACCGCCAAGGAGCCACCCTAGAGGTCCCAGCAAAGCTGCATGCCAAGGGCCACCCAGGACCATGAGCGGGAGCGACAGATCAGAGAGTCCCTGAAAGGGCCTGCACACAAATCCAGTGGCTTTGGAGAATTAGTACAGTTAGAAAACACTAGCCCTTATTCTGAGCCCTCTGAAGATACAATTGAGAGGTTAAAAGTGCTTCTTAACATCAGATTTCTGCTTTTGTCCTGACACTGCCCTCCTGTGTTCGCAGGTTACGTGTCGGACCCCATGAGCAGCCTGCGCTTTCACTCGTGCAGCAACAGCGGCAGCTTTGAGGACAGCAGCTGACAGCRGCTACCCCGCTGGGCTGGAGGGCCCCACGCCGAGCGCCTTTATGCAGTGGTGGTAAACGTCCCTGTTGCGATTTAGGGTCTACATGTCAGCCTGCTCCAGCGGCAGGGCAGCCTTGGGGAGAGCTTCTTTTGGGGAGCTGTTCCCTTTGGGGTGCAGGGAGGAGCTGCGTGTCCTGCGGTTCAGGGGCTGCCCCTGCATGGGCCTGTGCAGGGGCCCTGCAGGGAGATGTGCAGCAGGGTCCTGGGCCTGCTGCTGCTCCTACCACAACCCTGAGGCAATAAAACTGGGGACGATGCTTGGAAGTTGTTGTGTTTCTCAGCAGCTGAAGGGCTGGGGGTGGCGTTAATGCAGCGGTGGCACASGACCTGTGTGTGTGTGAGTGCCCAGAGAGGGGGTGGCAGAGCAAGGGGAGCTGGCAGGTAGGGGATGCAGGGAGCATCCGGGAGCAGCCGGATCCCACAAGCGCTGGTGCAGGAGGGGATAGAGTCYGGCCATCCTGGGAGGGCAGCAGGTGGGGGCCAGGACTGCTGCCCTCCCTCAGCTGCCCCCATCCCCCTGCATGCRGGCAGCAGCGCCGCTGAGCCCGGCTGCCAGGAATTGCTCATACGGTGACGTTACTTGTGGGAACTTGAGGAATGTCATGGGCTGATGCAGCTCCCTCTGGGCCAAAGGGAATGTGCACGCGTGCATGTGCATACAGAAGAAACAAACCTCCAAGGAAGGTCATTTACATTCATTTCAATTCACAGCATTTCACACACCAGGTGTATTCAACTATGTAATACATAAACATAGATTATCCATTTACAGCAATTTTCATATTGAACAACCTGGAAAATGCCTTAGTCCAGCAAACAGTCCATTACTAATTTTATAAATAGGCCCTGATTAAATAGAAAGGCCACTGCTGAATGATGAAAACTCCAGTACTTGCGTTTCAAGCAAGTCCCACTCACCYTGCAGAGAGAAAACATCGCTGCTGGGGCACCAGCCATCACTGCCCGTGTCCTCGAGAGCTGCTTGTTACTGCAGCTCCCCTCTCCACCCAGCCCTCTGCTCTCATAGTCTCTAATACAGTTTGGGCAACTCTTCTCTTTCAAAGTAGTTTGCAATATCCAGATTTATATTTTCAATCTAGCCATCTTCAGGACAGGAAGAAACAAACAAAAATTGTTTGATCACATTTAGATTGCCTATCCSATGTAAAGTAATCATAAATAATGTGGAGTAACAATGCACTCAGACTCCTGCCRTTCGTTCCCCGCTGCAGGGAGTAGGCAGCACGCGGAGCGGGGCCGTGCAGCTCAGAGCCCTGCAGGCTGCGCTGGCGCCTGGCCGGCACAGCCCAGGCTCGCTGCTCCTGCCGCCCGCGCCCAGCTCCACGGGAAGTGGGTGTCCCACGGGGCAGGTAATGCACCTCCTGCCCTGGCCCCCTGCTCCCAAGCGTGAGCACATGGGGCTGTGCCCGGCCCCGCGCTGCAGCAGCGCCTCGTGTGCCGTGGGGCGCTCCCTCGAGCCAAGGCTTAGCAAGGATGTGTGTTCATACCGCACGCGGCGGGGACGCCCCCAACRCCCTGTGACACCTGCAGAAGGGTGCAGGGAGGGGGCAGCCACAGTGCACAGTGTCTGCCTGCACAYAGACATCGACTGGGCAGCTGCCCCAGCACCGCTGCAGCCGCCCACAGGGACAAGCCGTGTCTGCAGGAGGCGACTTCAGCCAGGACAATACTTGTCTGTGTTTTGGGAAAAAAAAAGCGTGACAGCTGCGTAACAATCCTTGCGATTACTGTCTTCCTAATTACAAAGGTGAGCCATTTCCTGAGCCAACAAACACAGGCTTATTGGAGTTGTGCGCTGCACAGTAAGAAGCTGTTCCAGGAAAACATGGCAGACGGTTACAGCACTCACRGAGTAAAATAAAGGAGGAAGCAGCAGCCCRACCCACAGAGATCKCCAGTGAYCTGGATAAAYACGACAGAAAGCAGCACCGGGGAGCTGTGGGAAGACTCAGCGGAGAGCTCCTGTTACATCCTGGGACTGCATCAAGGCCATCACTGAGCCCCCTTTCAGAACATCCTAGTAAAAAGAAGCACAAATGAAAATAAGCGCTGTGAGCTGCACAGTGGCCACACTATGGAGAGCTGCCCAGTCACYACTCTAAGAGATTTCCCCTCATCAGGAGGTACTGGGGGAGTTGCAGGAGCTGGGGCTGCTGCTCCCTCGTAGAGCTGGGCTCAACAGAGCCCTGGCCACCCCTCCGGGCACCTCCCTGTCACTCAGCGCTGCAAGAGCCGCCACTGCCGGCGCCCAGCACCCCCCGGGGACGGGACAGCCAGGGGTCATGAACCTCAGGGCTGCTCAGCCTCGTCGTGCAAGCGAGCGGGCCCAGGAGCAGGTATGAACGCCAGAGCTGCTCTGCTGGGTGGCATTTACCATCCTTCACCCCAGCCGTAGGTACTKGACAGCAGACGTGTAAGGAAGGGGATGTGGAGAACAGGGCAGGGCCATTGGGGGACTGGGCTGGCCAGACACTCACCTCGCACGGCTCTCCGCTGCTCCTTGCGGTGCCGGGGGCTCCCGCGGGTGCCCTGGCGCAGGACTCTCCTTCCCTCGTTGCCTCTCGAGCTGCTCCTCAGGCTCCAAGATGCTCCRTGCAGTTTCTGCGACTGCTTTTCCTTCTCCCTGGGCCTTCTCACTGGTGCCGGRTGCTTTCCCCTCAGTTCCCACTTCTGCCTCTGCTGTTTCTCCCTCTGCCAGCCCCTCGWTGCCCCCAGGATCTCTCTCTGGTGCCGCTGTCTCAGGAGCCTCCTCCTCGGCAGCCGGGCTCAGGGCCGGCTCTGCCGGCTCCACTGCAGGTCCCACCACCCTGTCCTGAGGCCCGGGGACGGTCGGCTGGGTCCCCGCACTGGCCTTGTCTCCGACGGGCGGCGTTCCCTGCTCCTCCACACGCCCTCCGGGTGCAACACCCACTGGCACCTCCTGCCACTGCAGCCCAGACGGCCCGGCAGGCCTTCTTGCTCCTGCCCCTGCTGCAGCCTCCGTCCCCTGGATCCCCCCTGCTCCTGCCACTACTGCGGCCTCCATCCCCTCAGTCCCCCCTGCTCCTGCCCCTGCTGCGGCCTCCAGCCCCTGGATCCCCCCTGCTCCTGCCCCTGCTGCAGCCTCCATCCCCTCAGTCCCCCCTGCAGCCTCTGTCCCCTGGATGCCCCCTGCTCCTGCCACTGCTGCGGCCTCCGTCCCCTGGATCGCCCCTGCTCCTGACCCTGCTGCAGCCTCCGTCCCCTGGATGCCCCCTGCTCCTGGTGCTGCTGCGGCCTCCATCCCCTCAGTCCCCCCTGCTCCTGCTGCGGCCTCCATCCCCTCGGTCCCCCCTGCTCCTGCCCCTGCTGCAGCCTCCATCCCCTGGATCGCCCCTGCTCCTGGTGCTGCTACGGCCTCCATCCCCTCAGTCCCCCCTGCTCCTGCTGCGGCCTCCATCCCCTCGGTCCCCCCTGCTCCTGCCGCTGCTGTGGCCTGGGCCCTGGTCACGCTACAGCCATTGCCCCCCGGCAGGGCTGTCGCTGCTGCCCCCAACGCTGCAGCAGCCTCCGGTGCCACCAGACCCAGGCTGCCCCCCAGGCCGCCCTGCTYGGGCCCCCCCGTGCCCCACAGCCCCCTGGGTGCCAGGCAGCCCCACAGCACTGCCTCCCCCGGCACTGCGGCCTCTGCCGCAGCCTCTGCCGCTCCCGCTGCCTCCTCGGGGCCTCCCGTGGCCCCCGTGCCGGGCTCCGCTGGCGCCATGTGCACCCCTGCGGCGCAGCCCAGCGCGGCGGCCCCGCTCCGAGGCGCCCCTCTTGCTGCGCCTGCCCAGCCTTCCTCCTGCTCCTGCTCCTCCTCGGCTGCCATCTCCTGCAGCTGAGAGGAACCTCTGCTTATGGGATGCCCTCCAGCCCCTCCCAGCGCCTCCAGCCCCAAGGCTGCTTCCCAAGGGGAACCCTCAGCCTCAGCTCCTGCTCTCAGGAGGGAGCTCTCACCCATCTCTGAGGGTTCATCCATGTTGGACACTGCAGCTCCCCGGGCAGCTTTCCCAGCCTCCATTCCCTCTTCCCCAGCTGCTTCCAGCTGGGGAAACTCACTGGACTTCTTAAGCTCTTCTCTTCCCCGTGCTGCTGCTTCTGTGCAAAGATCCATCTCCCCTGATGCTTCCAGTAGAGCCCCAAACTTCTCCACAGCTTCCTGTCCTTCAGAAGCAGCTTCCTCCCCAGCCTCTTCTGCCTCAGGGCTCACCTCCCCCACAAGCTCTTCTGCCAACTTTGTGTCTCCCACAGCCTCCTGCCCCTCAGCCACAGCGACCTCCACAACCTCCTTACCTGCGACACCTCCCTCCTCCGTAGCCTCCCCTGCCTCGGCCGCACTCTCGCTCAGCACCTCCTTGGCCTCAGAGGCTCCTTGCACAGCATCCTGCTCTGCCCGATGCTCCTTGGGCCCCGCTCCATCCACCTCCCTGCCCCTCCACACCACGGCCTGTAACACCTCTGCTCCCTCAGGCGTTGCTCCTCCCAGCGCTTCTGCAGCCTTCAACACTCCCTGCTCCCCAAAGGGCACCTCTCCACCTCTTCCTGTCTCCTCTTCTTTTGAATCTTCTTCTGTCATGGCCCTCTCTTCCTTAGGTGCAGATTTTTCTACAGCAAGTTGAGCCTCCACCAGCATCCCAGCTATGGTGTCTTCCTGGGACAGCAGATCCTCCTCCAGTGCTGTTTCCTGTCCCACCTCTTCACTGCAAGCACCAACTTCCTCAGCTACAAAGTCTTCATTTTCAAGGACTTGTTTCTCTCCCATCATCTGCCCTTCTTGTACCACTTGTTCTTCTGCCTTTTGTATTTCAAGTGTTCTCATCTCTTCTGCCAAGGAAGCTCCATCTGGTGCTGTTAAGAAATAATCAAAACATTAGTTTTTATTGAAATAACTGTTAATGTTAAAGCTGTCTTATGAGGCAGTTATTAAAGACGCCATCTCTCCTAAGCAATGGAGGGACATCAGCATGGCAAAGAGAAAACTTGTTCTGCTGTTTCTTGTTCCACACATGCATGCAGGTACCTAGTGCCACAGTGGCACCCAGAGGAACTAATTTAAGCAAAACCGGTGATCAGCTTCCACAGTGACCTTCCCTCTGCCTTCCCACCTGGCAGGGCGCTCAGGGGGGTTGCACAGGACACCCTCAGCTTGGCGCTTGCATTCACACGCTCCAAGCAGTTGGCCAGTTGCTCGTGTACAGTACGCACGCGTAAGAGGAAAAGCACACAGCTGTTCACGGAAAACAGGCAACTGCTTCCCCTAATTCTGTAACCACACCAGGGGAATAACGTAGGGCCTCCTCTCTCCCCCGGGAATCCTATAGCAGMGCACTCATGGAATTCCGGAGTTCCGTGTTGCGGGATCTGCTCGCGGGCCGCCACCTCTGGAGCTCTGCTCCTGCCACTGGAGCCACCGGAGCTCTGTGCTGCTGCGGCTGCTCTGAAGCCACGAACCGCCCCGTGTGTCAGAGAGCAGGGCGGTCGGGGCCGAGCGGGGCCGCTTGGCCATAAGGGGCAGCGGAGGGACAGGAACCTGCCCGGCCTCTCCCAGTGCGCCCCATGCACCCGTCCTGCCTCCAGGACCTGCCGCCAGGCCGGGACACAACCCGCTCCCTGCCACAGAGAGGCGGGAGCGGAAAGGACGGAGGGACCCAGGGAGGAAGCAACGAGCTGCGCAGACAAGAGAGGATGGAGGCCCTGGAAGGAGAAAGGGGCAGCTCAGGGGCTGCCTCCTCCCACTGCATCACTCATTGCCCGAGCATCAGACAACACCGTTAAATTAAAAATTCCACACTGCATTTTGTAATACAGGGAATCACGTCTTCATCCAGACGTGCCTTCCACCATGTACATGGGTTATGTTTATTACTAGCTTCCTCRAGGACCTTAGTCCCATAAGCTTTAAATGTGCTTTTTTGTTTATATATATAAGATATATAATTATAGTTACATAATTATAATTATATATAATTATACAATTTTATATATATAAAAGAAAGAAGAAATTATATATAGATATACAAAAACATCTCAATCAGCTCTACCTCCTGAATCTGGGAGAATTTAACCTACTATTAAAATCAGTAACTTGCATAATCATTAAAAATTTGTACACAAAGACTCTGATACAAAATGAGATTAAAATAATCTCATTCATCTCAACCAAGAATCAAATATTCCTACCTCCACAAAGGCAACCTCTGACCTGCCCAGGGGCTAGGGCTGGACAAAGGCTCCCCTAAGGGATTTTAGCTAGTCCCTGTGCTGCAAATGCTTTGTTACCTTCTTCCAACAGAAACAGAGTGTGTTCTGCAGCCTGACGCATCTGTGCTACCCTGCCCGTGTTACCCTCAGTGGACAGAGCGGGGTTCATCACTGCTTGGGCTCTGGCAGCTGCTTTCCCTCCCATCAGGTGAGGTCCTGCCCAGGCTGCGAATCGCACAAGTGTGAAGTTATTTCTCATTAAAGCGTCCAAACGAGACACCTTGGGAGCATCCTCCTCCACAGGCCACCTCTGTGGGAAGAGGGARCCTTCCACCTGCACCAAGGGGTCGCGAATCTCCACTGACAGCGCAGTCTGCCTGGGAACTCCCTCAGAAACAGAGATGCTGCAAGGACCAGTGTGTGAGATGCCTGGGTTCTGAAATGAAATCCCACAGATGGTTGTTCTACGRTTAGCTGATGAGACAGGGCAGAAATAGCCTCATCCCAGAAAGGATCCCTGAGGAAAAGGCAATGACTGAGACCAGTGATGAAGAGGAACCTCCACCCTCCTGGATACACTTGCTAGATGAAAGACCCATTAACAACGTTGTTCTTTGACCAGGTGACAGCAAAAAGAAACCTTAGTTCACCCTGGCTTATGCAGACAGTGCAGAACTGGCGAGTGGAAACCAGGTGTTTCTGGTTCCTGCCAGCCCTGGACTCTGGGACGGAGGATGAAGCAGGAGGGGCAAGTGCAGGCTCGGCCAGTCTCACCACGAGGTTTCGCTCGTTGCTACGGTGAAGAAGAGGCTCTAGCACTTACTGCCACAGGAGGGCCCTGCAGCAGCCCCTCTAGCAAGGAGCAGCTGCCTCCCGTGGCCCTGTCCCTGCGAGGCAGGGCAAGCCTCCAAAACCAAACTGCACCCGTCCTGTGCGGACTGCAGTGTCCCCAGACGCTTACCGACAGAAATGCTTGAAACAGCCGAGATCAGGCTGGATTCCCCTACTGCCAATTAAGCCAGCTGCTAACATGGAGACAAGCTGGAAACACGGTGGGGATGAGGGCTGGAGTTCAGCTTGGCGCCTGCTCCGTCATCCTTGCTCCAATCCATGCCAGCAGCCCCCTCCTGCCCATCTTGACACTCCGTTTCCCCAGGAGGCTCCATCCTATCATTTACTACATCTACTTGGAAGCAAAGGGGAATTCACCAGACACCTGCTTTTCACTGCTATTTTCTTGAGTGGCAGCCAGGCTTTTTCTGACTTGGATTCTTTGCCCAGGATCATTATAAGTCCCCCAAAGGCATCAATTATACGTGACTACAGAAGCCAGCTAGACATCACCTGATTTTGTACAAGTCAGGAAAAAAAAAAAAAAAAAAAAGGAGTCAAGAAAGTAAAGAAGAACACCAGGAAGGCTGTTAGCCTAGAAAGTAAAGCAAACGGCAAAATTGTTCTATAAATAATTTTAAATGAATGAAATTTAACCCAGGTTCCTGACCACATTAGCTGTCCTCACCTTCACTGAGAGCACACTCTGTGCCTGTTAAGTTCTCTTCTTTCCCATCCACTCTGGAATCACTAGTTTCAAGCTCAGGATTCACGTGATGATCATCTTCAATTGTGTCTGTTATTTTCTCTTGGGCTGATTTGCAATCTTGGAAAAAAAACACAAAATTGGAAAAGAGGAAGCAACAAAGAAGCCATCAAAAATAAAAAGCAGCATAGAAACCATTCACTCAGCTCAGCTTGACATAAAATCTGCAATATTTCTGCAGGTTTGATTGGCACCAAGTAAATCTTCACCAGAAATAATTTTTGAAGTAGATTAAAATCAAATGGCAATGGCTATTAACAAAATGAGAGAGAGAGAGAGAGAGAGAGAGAAGAGAGAGCCCAAGATGTTCGTGTAGAAGCAGCCACGGAGGCAGCAGCAATCTCCTTCCACAAGGTTTCCCCAAAACAGCCAGACTGCCTTTGTCAGGATGGGGGTAGGAGGGTGCAGAAGGTTCAATGCACAATGACAATGTTCTATAAAATTGCTTTTGTTCTATAACTACTTTTCTAGAAATGTGGCATTTTTCTATTTGAAGCCCAATTAAGGTTCTGATGACTCCTCAGTTCCCCAAACTAACAGAAGAGACAAAGTTTGGGGATGCAGGAGCAGGGTTTCAGCCTGTGGTTAAGATGTCTGTGAATCCTAATTGGGGCTCCTATTGCAGCAGCACAGCTGGCAGAGGGCTCTGCAAAGCCAAGGAGCACAACAAACCACTTGGCCTTCTTGTGTCCAAGTCTCGGCCCCTGGGCTGTGTGTTACATGGGGTGAGATTTGACTTCCAAGTAACACTCTAACTAGATTTCTCTGAAATTAAAATAAGGAGCCACGAGCAGGAAGCCAGTTCCCTTGCTAAGGGTCTGGCCGCCTTTGGGCCGCCCTGCAGCACAGGTACAGGTGTTTGTACAGGTGTTTGTATTGTGCAAACCAGTATGTGGGGCATCACGGAGGGGCAGGACGGAGCGCAGTGAAGAGGCTGCACCAGGAGGCCGAAGGCCAGAACACAAGTGCAGGTGCAAACTCACTGGGCAGCAGATGCAAACACGGATGCTGAAAGGCCAGACAGGGATTCTTTTTCCTGTGTACAAAGATCCRACTGCCAGAGTGAAGCATAAACCAGGAAGCCTCTCATGCTCTCCACGACCACCATCTTCTCTTCCATTATCACAAACAAGGACAGTGACAGAGGYACCTCAGGCACTCCTACCCAAGCAGGATCGGTTGCATAAAACAAGCACAGAGACGGACTGACCCGGCGCCTCGTGCCATCTGAAACACCCCTGTCCACCTGCCTCTGCGCCGAAGGGAGCAGGAGGAGCAGAGCCCTTGCAGGAAGTGTCCAGGACAAAGGAGGATGAGGAAAACACCAACCCGCCAAGCACCGTCCTTCCTCAGCGTGTGTTTGACCAGGTCTTCACAGAACACGACTGCTCCCCGTGCCACGTACGACACCACACACAGACAACACCAGTACTGCAGAAATAGAACAGTCCAACCACCAAGCTGTACGTGAAAGCTCAACAGCTTCCACTACACAGTAATTAATGATCTTGGCTCTTACGGCTAAGCTGAAAAGGTAAAGACTACAGGCCTGCAAGGAGCAGAAAACAGCAGAATCCATAGTCATTAGAAAGGATTGCTTGGGTCCTTCACTAAGCTACAGATCGATTAAATCACTTAAGATAACACAGCTTAATCTGGAATGCAATTTACATTTAATATTTGTATTAAGTATTTTAACATCTGCACTGTGTTTCTAACAGTTAAATCCCTTTTGAATTCAAGTAAGAGAAATTTGCAACTTTCAGATAAAGCTCCAACATGGCAAGCAAGTATAAAACAAGCGCAGGTGAAGAACGTACCCCATTGTGTCACATGTGGGAACAGGCATGTGTGCCTGTGTGCACGCAGGTGATGGCATCTTCCCTCCAATAACACACTGGGAGAAAGGCCTATCAATTCTCAGGAGACTGCAGATGGCACCAAATTGCTTTATACTTRTAGCTGCATATAGGGAATTTCAGGTCTGCTATTTCAACATCAGTCGGGGCAATGAAGGATTCCAGAGGAACTGCAAGATGGATATTGCTCCCCCTGGCTTGCAGTGAGAAGAATTAACATCGTCCTCAACTCCACATTCTCCTCTTCCCAGCTCCTTGCCTCTCTTTTGCCAATACATCATCCGTCCCATCCCACCTTTTCCCTGGACAGTTGTCTTCTACACTGTTGATTCTTTCTCCCTGCCTTCCATTTTACATGTTATTTTCTCTTCTGTTTTTCACCTTTGTTATTTTCTCCTCCTTCCTCTCATGGTTCCTCCTACTCCACTTACTCCCTTTCCTTCCTTCCTTATCAGTACTCAGAACTCACAGTTCCTAAGACAAATGGAAGACTCCAATATTTTGGGCTAATTCAATACCAGATTACTGGCTTGACCCATTCAGTTGATCCTTCTTTGGTTTTGCACTACAGCCTAACATGCTGTATTACTGTATTACAGCTGCTATACAAGTTCCTTGTTCCTCAGTGGTCTTTACTCAGCTCGCCTGAAGCTGGTGGAAAAGCTGCTCAACCTGAAGCTGCTTCCATGGCCCAGATGCAGGCTCCAGAAGCAAAGAGCTGGTGAGATGTCAGCATTATCCAGTCACGGGAACACTACTTCAATTCTGAATGCAAAACAGAGCAAAAGCAAAGACAAGGCAGTCCAAGTAACCCATCAGCAAAGGACTTGCAAGCACCGAGCACCAGCATTCACAGATGTTGGCTCCACACACGGTTTAGATACTCACACTGCAGTGAACAGGAAGCAACAGGAGCAAAATCAAAAAATAACCAGTAAAACCTGACACGTTCCACTGCAAGGCCAGCATACAGAAAGATACAACGGGATATGCAATCTCAAATGCAGCTCTGTCAGCACCACTGCAGAACGTTTCTTTACACTGTCTGACTTAACAACATGTAAAACACTTTTATGAACCAGATAATATTTCAAAGCAAGGACTTGCCTTCTTTCCCCTTCCTCATAATGCAAACCTTGCCCACGTGGCTGTTTGTTACTTGCTCATTACCCACACAACATCCACGAAGGTGAGGCTGCAGCATCTCCATTTTACCAGCAAACAGGAGTCGGGCTGATTTGCTCCTTGACAAGAAGGTTGTCACAAAGTGCAGTTACAAAAACRGGAGTCAATGGACACAGTGTTTAATCCATCTGCTGCACCATGACTCATACAGCATCTTTGGGAGATTTTTTGAATCCCGTATTACCCATAGGATAATGAGATTCCCCCCAATCTGGCAWGCAGATTCCTTTATAGATAATAAAGAGCATATAAATCTTAAAATTATAGTATGTAAGAATAGTCAAAGTCTTACACTAAAACACTAGAAAAGAAACCACCCAAGATTACACTCTGGATGGTTATTTAGCTCACAGCAATACAGGGCATTCTGACAGCTCGATATTGCCTGCAGAAGTAGTCCAGCAGCTGCATTTGCAAAGCAGCCTCATAACGTGGCATAAAGGCAAATACAGCAGCACTTGCACACACTGGGCACATCGCGGCTCTGCAGAGAGAACATACTCACCCCCTCCTTCGTCACTCTGAGGAGACTCTTCACTTCTATCCTCCACTTCCATCACACGACTTTCCAAGGACACTAGGACATCTTCCTTCCCAGTATGTGCCGCCTTCTCCCCATCTTCCCTTGTGTCACTTTCTACTGACCCAGCGTGTTCGAGCTGCCTGCTAACTTTGGGACCTTGATGCTGCATTGCCATTACACTTTCATGAAAAAAATCAGTGTTTACCCTTGCTGCTTCTCGCTCTTCTGCGTCATCTATTCCTTCTTCTTCCAGTGCAAATGTTTCTGGGTTGTCCTCTATTCCGGATCGATYATTCTTCCCATTCTCACTTCCACACCCTGCGTGAGCTACGCTGCCAGCTGGCCTTTCAGTATCACACTCCTCGTTGTCCTTAACGTTGTCTTTGAAGTTTTCAGCAGAGTCATCTTCACTGCTGTACAAAGTACTCATGGATGAGGAGCAGAGCGCAGACCTCCTATCTAAGAGTGAAAAATAATTCCATTTTAATATCTGTCATGAAAACATCTGCATTCATTGGCCACTAATTCATTTTGCCATGCACAAAGGGCCAGGTTCAGAGTTCTCATCTCCTATCAGCCTCTGAATTGCACCCCCTGAAGGACTTGATRGCAAAGTTCCAGTAATTGTACATTGATTCATTTGAACAATATACTTTTAAGTGTTACAAACAGAGCCATTTAACTTTTTCTTCTGATAACAACTATGATAAAATTCTCTGTTTGAGAAAGAGGAATGTCATGAAATGTTGAGAAATGTCAAGAAAAATAAGTCTTTTAGTGCACTCATGTCATGCCAGTGAATCATAGAATCACCGAATCCTTAAGGTTGGAAGGGACCACTAGAGATCATCGAGTGCAATCTCCCTGCACATGCAGGGTCACCCAGAGCATGGGCACAGGATGATGTCTCAGCAGGTTTGTAAGATCTCCACAGGAGACTCCACCACCTCTCTTGGCAACCTGTTGCATAGAATAAAGAGCTGTAAAATCATGTGAAAAACACAGAAGGTGACTCGGGAAGGCATTTCACTGTCTCCTTTAAAAGGAAGATTTAGAGATCATGACATAACATTCATAAATGGAAACAAAATGAAGAAAAAATCTTCATTGATAATTCTTCATATAGTATTTTACAAAACAGTGGAATTTATTGCTGCTGCAGGACACTRAGGGCGTCCAAAGTCCATACAGATCAAAAAAGAGATGAGTTAAACTCAAGAAGGCAAAACCCGCCCAGGCCAGGCAAGTTCAAAGAGAGAGCCCCTCGAAGCCCAGCTAAGCACAGGGTGGGAAAACACAGCAGGGAAGCAGCTCCGCAGCACTGCCCTTTTCCTGCACATTTTCCTGCGCCTAAGTCACCGGCACACGGCCCTGTGCCGTGTCCCTGAGCAGCTGCTGCCTTTTCCCGGAGCCACTGTCTGCAGCCAGTCCTYCCTGCAGCCTCTGCGCAGCTTGTTCATCTGCCCACATGAGGAATGCTCATGGAAAACGCTGRTAACATTTTAAATCATCCTTTTCATCTGCAGTGTGTTATGAAAATTCACTTAGGGAGGCCTCTAATGAAGGTCCTTAGGATACAAGTAGCTATGAAAGACAATTCAAGTTACCTGCTTCATTCCACCTAGAAACACCCACACATTCACAGCTTCCACTTCATCATCACACACTGCCACAGCTTGATAAGCAGCTGATTCAAATCACAGAAATGATAATACATACACTAATAGGAATTCTTAATTGTACTTGATGTACATGATTATTCATGAATCACAAGTAAACTATTTCCGAGTACCTTAGAAAATAAAAAATAGATATTTTTGATCACTGCAATGATTTTTAGGCCAAAATATTTCAAATTTGGTTTGAATTTCTGTTGCATTTTATACGTTCTATAAAAAGACTGGATCTTTCTTGCAGCTGCAGTGTTTTCACAAACAGCTGTTTTACCATTGCAAATTTCACCTAGAAATACAAATGTGAAAGTAATGTTTACATTTAAATTGAGAAACAGCTTTCATTATTACGACTGTCAAATGTAAGGAATATAAATGAGTTCATTTTAGAGCAGCAGTAAATTGAGAAATTCTTGTATATTATGACAAGTAACAGGCACATAAGTCAGCTCTGGATCTAAGAGAAGATTTAAGAGCTCCCTCTAAGAGGAGAAATATTAGAAGTAAATCACTTTTCCATGAAGAGACCAGCGAAAAATGTAGGCAGTTCATTTTCTGCTCTTTCACTGTGTTCTGGAATTCTCTTACTGCTTGTTTAATAAATGTGAAATTGCCTGCAAGTTTCTCCTGGATTATTTATGAATATATGCTGCTGGGAATATGTGAAGGTCAATTGTTAGAGCATTAACAGAAGTGCTGATTCAAGAAACTGAAGGGACAGAAAATGCTATTTATGCTACAGAAATTAATTCCAGAACAGTTTAATCTTTCTGAATTAATAATAATTGTCCCGTGCACTTTGTACTTTCATATCTACATTTGAATCAGGAAATCACAGCTTGTCACATAGCTCAGACCCTTAATCTGTTTCTTACCAGACCTGATCTGGGGACCTCAGAAATTTTCTAACTGCTGCAAGTAGAGCAGACAAACGGGTAAACTACATTTTCCTCTCTGAACTACACATAAGTGAATGATCTAGTGGGGTATAAGCTAAGGTTATGATGACTTGGGATCATTATTAATGATAACACTTAGGACAAACTAATGATAACACTTAGGACAAACAAGGTATTATATTGGGTTTCATGATGGCTTCTCAGATAAAAAGGCAAGTGGCCATGACTTCACAACTGTTGGTGACCAGCAACACTGCCACTGCCCTAAGTACATACAGCTGATGTGCTGACCAGCTACTTTTCCATTTCTGCCACAAAGGAGTCCAGCGATGTCTGCTGTAAACCATGGCGCATGCTTATGCTACCCAATGAATTTGGCAGTATTTAGTGATGGACAGTAGAACCAATAAACACACTTAAAATAGGCATCTTCTACTAATTCAGTAGTGATTGCATGATTTTTTTTTGTCCTTTACCTAGTTTATACATCACAATAGCACCGCAGCACAAATTAATATCTATGTTCCCCCAAATTAAGCCACCGGGAACTGTAAAACGTCACACTGTTGTAATAAAGATGTCAAGCTACTCTACCCCATTTCTCCTCACTCACCTGACGAGCATCACAGCTGGAGCAGAGGGACACACTAAGCTCAGCTGGCTCAATAAGCACTCTGTGGAAGGGCAGGAAGACTCTGTCTCAGCCAGAGGAGCAGCAAAGTGCTGACTCGGACCTTCCCTTCCCAGTTACCGCTAGAAGCGGTTGCTCCATAGCTCAGAACTTTAAGGCAGCTGAAAAAATCCCACTCTCCACAATGCAAAACAAATGCAAAGAGTTGGGATGTTTTGCGATGATTAACACCCAAAACGTCACTGTCTTGACACTTGAAATTTAATAAAAATACAGACTCACCATACATTTTGTGCATGCCCAGTAACGTAAAACATGCACCACACTGACTGCTCTACGTCTTGGTATGACAAAAGACTAACCTTGTTTACTACCGTCTGAGGTGCTGTCGGAGCGTCCATCACTTTCATCTTTCTCACTGTCTGTGGCCTGCACTGCCTTCTGGGTTGAATTTCTACTCTCTTTTTCATGGTCTAGATTTTCTTTTTCATCATCTGTGGATGACTTTGACATTCCACTCATTTGATCACTAGTCTGTCCTTCTTTATTAACTTCTTCATCTGCTTCAAAATCTTCATCATAGTCTAAAAGAAAAGAATTCTACTGTGAGACAGATAACTAAATTCACAATCACTAAAGACCTTTTTAAGCAGACAAAGGTTAATTTAATTAACCTCCTTTTCCATTTGTTTTTGCTCACTTAGGAAAAAAAAATCAGGAAAGAGTCTGAGACCACACATAGGAATTGTGAGCACATTATAATAAAAGCAGCACTCTGTTCTTCATAGAGGGAGTAACAAAAATGCAATAAATATACTGAATGATGCAGCAAGTATCATCAGTATATTAAAAAAAATTTAAATAACCATTGCAAAATAAAAAGAAAAGAAAAATAAAAAGATGAATTATGCAAGCTCAGAAATAAATGACAGGCTTGTATTGGAGAAAGAAACTGTATACAAAAACATATAAACAACAGAGGAAGCTGTAGAAAGGAAGTATGTTGCAGTCCCAAGTCAGATAAATGTGGATTGACAAGGCACATTAGTGAAGAGGTAGCTTACAAACTAAATTAATCCATCAAATCTAAAGGGCACTGAAAAGGACATCTGTTACCACACAGTGCAAATGTCCATGCACTTCCCAGGTGGAATCCCACTGAACTGAAACTTACCCCAGAATTACTATTTTTACAGTAACAGGGCCTGGCTTTCATCCCAGGGTGCCACCCTCACAAACTGCCACATGTCAYAGATAACTTTGCTCACACCTCTTGTGAAGAAACGTTCTTTATGTACATTTAATGAATAACCTTTCCCTTTATAAGCAAGGCTGCAATATTTAAATCCCAGACACCAGAATGTATAGCGATGCCAGCACATTTCCATGCAAAATGCAGCAGTTCTGCTGCCACCACTAGTGAGAAAATAAACCTGACCAGCGCAGGGGAACCGTCACCATCACCATGCTACCTGTCCCTCTCAGCTGTAACTTCTCCCCGTACAGATTTAACTGGTCACCTCTTCTTTCCACCAACGCTTTTGAAGTGGTGAAGTGACAGAATGCCAAACAGAGACATGAAGAGTATCTGATGCAGAACCAATTATGCAAATAACAATTACCCACACAATGAGAATTAACAAAATAAGTGGATTTATCTTCTGCATTAGAAATCAATTAACATTCCAACTGCAGTGTTGGAAGTGAAGCCTCCCTGGGTAACTGTCAGAAAGATGCCCACCTCCGGGAAGTGAAAAGGCTTCATTAGTCACCAGAGCACATGCACAGGAACTCACAAAAAATCCTGAAAGGAGGAACAGGAACTGGAAGCAGGAAAAAAAAAAAATCTATAGAAGGACAACTTACTCTGACAATCCTTTTTAATAAGGAGTGAAAGAAGAGGTTGTGTTCATGGTCTTCCCTAGGAGTAGCAGATGTGTAAACAGACTGAGGACCAATGGGACTGGCTTCAGGTGGCACTGGGGAAAATGGCACCCTCTGAGCATGAAGCTGGGGCTGCACCACACTAATTTATATCTCAAAGATTATCTGTGTCTGCCACAAGAAACACTCCTCAGGCAAACTTTTAGCAAGTCTCTGCCTGATCTTTCCTTTTAAATATCTGTCAAGAGAAACCAGAGAGGTCTCAAGCAGAAGAGGTGAAGATGGTCAGCCACAACAGTCAATGGATGCATTAGTGGGAGGGAAGAACAGTTTCTTCCCAGCAGTGTGAAAGCAGGGAAAGCAAGAAAGGTGAGCTGGGAGACCTGGAGCCGAGCAGATGTGGAAAAGCGAGGAAGCTCGAGGACAGGGTGGCTTCGCACAGGGGTGGCTGGGCAGCTTAGCAGAACRGTGCCTATGAAGAGCCTTGGGCGCCCGCGGCAGCTCCGTCCCGCTAAGCACCGAGCAAGGGATTCCAAGCGACTCCGCGGGCGCCGGATGCAGCCGAGCGCCCTGCCTGTGCCAGCCCGATCGGCCTCCTGCCCGCAGCACTGCCCTYGGCCTGCACAGGCAGGCGGCCGACAGCTCCCACCTCCTGCCGCCTTCTCTTCCTTCCCCAAGGAGCTCTTCTCGCACCAGCCCAGCTGGGCAGCAACACACACGCAGTCCCCTTCCCTCCTCCAGCCCCATGTACTGCCATCTACTGCTGCTGTCCCTCTTCACCGCTGTCCTGCCACTGTGCCCACTTTCCTCCTGCTTTCCCAGCTCCCTCAGGCCCCTGTTTCAGCCTCTCCATCTTCCTTACATGTGCTTTGGCTCCTGCAAAATCCTCTCATCTTGTCATTTAACTGAGAGGAGTCCCAGCTACAGCCAACAGCCTCTGTGACATCTTCCCCACATTCCTCACATGAGGTGTCTCAAGGGAAGATAAATTCCTAATGAAGCTGGAAGCCCACAGTCCTGTRCCTTCTCCCTAACTCTCCTCTCCCRTTTTTCACCCCGTTTGTGCTCTGGAATGCTTTACCATTTTTACCCATGTCTTCTTGTCTATCTTCACTCTCATGATGAGACAGTTCTTTCATTCCTGCTCTTGTGTACTGCTCTCTTGTCTCCGTTGTGTCCTCCACAGGTTCCATATGTGCTCCGTGACCCGATGAAATGGCTACCATTGGATCCTGTCCTGCTTTCTGCTCCGCATGGCTTTCACTGGGCTCCCCGGGCACGCCGGCTCCCCRGGGCCCTGCTGCCTTCTCACTGCTCCCCTCCTCTGTCTTCTTCTTGGGAGGGGACGGCTTTTTGTCCAGGCCCATTGCAATAATGCACCTACAAAACAAACAAAAAACAGGACCTGGAACCCCCCACTGGTTTCAGGGAGCACGGAAGGGCTGCAGGCACCATCAGCAGCTCATGGCACTGCCSGAGGTGAAACGCAAGCAAGCTAGGCCCTCAGCTGCACCACACAGACAGCAAGGGCACTGAAAAGGGGCTTCTTGTTCTCAGAAACATCCTAGAAAGGCCTAAGAGATTTTTTCTTCCTCAGAATTGCTCTTCCTGTGTAAAGTTGCTGTGCACTCCTGCTCCCTGCAGCTGTTTACAAACTGTGACATCTTAAAATTACTGAGTTTAGGAATCTTGCTTTTTGTGCCTGCAAAACTGAAAATGTAACATTTCTGAAAGGAGATCTACTCTTCCTATTTTTGTTTTCGATATTCTTTCAGTTATCTTTGAGATACTGAAATGTCTGTGCCTACTRCATGTAACGGCTGCAGCAGCAGCACAGAATAAACTGGCCTTGACGGCATCCTTGCATGTGGGACTCAAATGAAAAACCCCACTCTGCAGATGCTTCAAGGGATGCCTGGAAACAGATGGGGTTCAAAAGAGCAGCAGAGTGCAGAAGGCTTTTAAAAAGAAGAAAATGGTAAACACTCTAAAAATGGTGTTGCTAAGACTTAGTGAGCAAAGTGCACTCTGTCTCCATACCTATAGCAAGGAGACGCTCTCTCCACATTGAGAAAACCAAAATATCCATGTCTGCCTCCCAGCCTGGAATGCTTCTGATGTTTGTACTCACAGCAAGAGCTCAACCTGTCCACCTGCATCCCATTGAGAAAAAAGGTGAGGCTGAATGGGAAGCCATGGTGCCTTCTGGAGATGAACTGAAAGGTCTCTGCAAATGAAGAAAGGGAAGTGCTCASAGAAAAGGGTTACACTTCACTGTCAGGCAATTGCATCTATTGCATCTGATCTGCATTATCTCCAAAGCACCCAAAGCATCTGAGATCAGGTCCTTTTGTTCTCAGCTGTACTAATGAGGCTGTAAAGCTTGACCTCCTCCATGCACAGAGCACTTTTCTCTTTCCAGCGCAGCAGTACCAAGCTGGACACATTTGTCACAAGCTAATGTGTTGCTGCTTTGTCTTTTCCCTGCTGCTGCAGCAGCAGAGCCTCCTATCACACATGCCCTGCACTCTGCCCCTTTCTCCCAGGGTGCCCATGAACCACGGGCAGCTGGAGCAGCGGGAACTTGCCCAGTTGATGGTGCAGGAGGTCCCTGGAGCTCCYGCACGGCGCTGCCTGTGGCACCCCGGGCAGCAGAGCTGCAGTGCTGGTGGCTGAATGTCCTGCTAGGAAGGCTTTGAAGCAGACCTATGGGCACAGTATGGTACATCCACAACCCTGGGGGACAGATTACAGAGTCACAGACTCACAGAATGGTTGAGGTTGGAAGGGACCTCTAGAGGCCATCCACTCCAACCCCTGCTCCAGCAGGGACACCCAGAGCACAGGGCACCCGGTCGCACCCAGGCAGGTTTGGGAGACCTCCAGAGCAGGAGCCTCCCCAGCCTCCCTGGGCAGCCTGGGCCAGGGCTCAGGCACCCTCACGCTGAAGAAGTTCTTCCTCACATGCAGATGGAGCTGCCTGGGTTTCAGCTGGGACCCACTGCCCCTTGGGCAATTACAACCTCATTTTCTATTATGAAATAGTAAATCTGGATTTAGTTTGGAGGTAACTGGTGTGAAGGTCCCTGGACACCCATAAATTGGCCAAATTAAGCCAAAATCATTTTGATATCACACAAAATCATTTTGATACCAGCCATAAAAGAAGATGTTGCCAGATTCAATATAAGCTCTTCGGCTCTCTCCTTACCTCCTTCCAGGAGCTTGCCTTTGTAAACACACAAGTTTTCTCCTCCACAGTGCTGCTGATAGACTTTGATTTCATCTCTGAAATCAACATCATCATGAGATAAACACACACCTTTTCCTAAGAAGATCATGGTAACAAGTGCATCGCTACGTAATGAGGGCCTGTGGAATTTTCCAGAATTCTGCAGCAGAAAAGACACACAAAAATGCATACAGTTCCCAACTCCTAACAAAAGGTGAGCACAAAGATCCCATACACACAGTATATTTATTAAGTATTAATTTACTTCACTGCTTACTGCATTTAGTAACATCTGAATATCAAACAGATCAAAAATGATTAGCAAATCTTTAGGCCCAAGTCAGCTTTTTTTCTCCACTCTCCTGATTTTGAAGGGCTGAAGCACGAAGTACAACTGCAGCTTTCCAAGGAGAACTGCACCAAGGAGAGAGGATGCTGGCCAGGTAACAGGCAACAGAGCCTTCGGGGACAAATTCAGGCCCTGGGCTCCACCTGCCTTACTCACAAAAAGGGCATGAATTCATGACAATTCTGGGAGTCAGGAARGTGAGAAGTGACCTACAAGCAACTTTTTCCTATCTAAATAGGTTCTAAGRAAGCCCAATGAGCATGACCTCTGCAGATATTAATAGCACATTCATTTATGCTATGAATGTGCTTCAAAAGCAACCCTTTTTGAAGTTCAGCATCTACTTGGGAGAGATGGGATCCGCCTCACTAAGCCTCTTGCCAACAGGCTGGCTGATCTGGTAAGGTGAACTTCAGCTGAAGAATGACGAGTTCAAATGGGACTTCCTAAGGCTTTCTGTTCAAGCATCTTTCCTTTTTAACTAATGAAAAAATCCAAATRCTTTAGTATACAGAGAAATGGATGATAGCTATATTTTAACAGCTTGAAATTTCTGAAGAAAATTCATATGAATCTTCAGGCAAAATATGTATTCACACAATTCAGCATCATGTAAATACATCCCTGAGGAAGGCAATACACCTATAATTAATGAAGAAACAGAACAAAATAACCAACCTTTGTTAAAAGTTGCTCCAAGTCATTTGGTGCAGTGGTGGGACGAAACCGTCTTCTCCTGGGCATCCCTTTTCTCCCTGTTTTTACACTCCTGCCTCCTGCTTGCAGAGGAGGAGGTGGCACTGGTATCACATAATTGTTAATGATGGGCAGTCGATACGGGGACATACCAGTCACATATTCTACCGAGTTCATAAGTCTTAACTGACTCTTCTCCCCCTGGAAACACATTTTAACCACGTTAAGTAAATCACACTAAAAGAGCTACAGAGCATATCAAGCTAACAGCAGTTCAGCTGTTCTTTACATTTAGCAACAGACACTTCCAGAAAAAAGAACATTTTAAACTTGCCCCTTCAGCAGCCATTTTTGTTCTTAAATGCTTTCTTTTAACCTGCACAACAACACACACAAATGGAGAAACCAAGATCCAGCTACTTGAAAACATCCCCCTTAGATACACATGTATATTACAAACCACGTACTATGGGCAAGTTGGCAGAATGCCACACAATCCCACAGCACTGCTGTTCTCCCTCGGCTGGGAAGCAATTTCCAAAAGAGCCAGGATCTTCCAACAGTAAAATTGGTTGGCACCAACTATACAAGGTGCATTTCAAAGGCCTCTTTCTCATTTGCAGTGGAAGTTTAGCTCTCCCTCAGAATGAAATGCAAACAGAGGACCAAGGTAATGAAATGTGCAGCAAAGAGGGAAGAAATTCTGCAGCCACTGCATGCTCTGGATTTGAGCTCTGCATCATCTTTTCAAAATCAACAATTCATTTAGCTGTTTCATCAATAGCTATCTTGATTTATTATATGAATAACCCATAATCTGAGCGCCGACAGAGATAATACCAGCAGATTCTTGGGGAAATGATTGTGAGCATCACAATACAGAGTAAMTGCAGAGCAGGAGGGCAACTACTGATGTAAGTTCTGCCAGTGAGTAGCAGCAGGTCACAGTCTCACTCTAAAATTGCCCTGTCCCTTGGAGCTTTTGATGCAAAGCCAATTAACGCAATGTTTTCTAAAATACAGAAGTCCAAATCTCTCCTGAAAGTACTATGTACACATCAAGATCATTTTTTATTACTCCAGAGTTCCTCAACTCCACTAGAGTGACTTAATAAGAGGGGAAAAACAAAAAAAAAGTGGAGGAGTTTTATCTGTAGACAAAGACAAAAATTTGCAGGACTGCTTTTTTGACATATTAATATTAACCAGGTGGTTGCTTCCCTCTCTCCACATGACAAAAAATCTGTGTAGAGAGAGATTTTACACACACATGGATTTTACCCTACAAACAAAAATCAGCAAATTTTCCATGACACTGACCAAAGATTGGACATTAGACCAGTAAGACAATATCTTGAAAAATGAGGGTAAGTTAAAAGGAAGTGCTTAAATAAAAGTTGATCCTAAATTATGATTCTGTAGACATGTTGTGTGTTGCCTACAATTCTCAGAATTGCAATAACAAGCTGTATTATGAACCTGTTCCTAAAGTTATTTAATTTTCAAAGTGAAATATGTCCTCACCCCACTGGCAAACTGCTGATCATTGTCAAGCGTGGGGCTCCTCCGCTTAAGGTCTGAGATGTTCTGCAYGGCAGCAGCACTGCCAAGGGGCTGGTGCTGACGGGGGCCCTGCAGGTTTCCTGGAGCGGTATTTGGCCGAGAAGCAGCAGTCTAGAAAAGGCAAGAGACTTAGTGCACAGTGTCCAGTGTATAGCAGCACCATAAGGAGAAAACATAGTGCTGATCAGGACTTTCAGAAGACATTAGTGATTCTGAGGTACCTTCAGGAAACTTAGTTTTACAGTACCTTGTGCATCTGAAAAAAAAAGACCCTATAAACATATCTGAGAACCGAAAAACTGGAGTATCCAGAAAGTTTCTTGGCCATAAATCTGGCTTTTTTTTTTTTTTGCTATCTGCTCATAGTGCAGGCCTGAATCAAGCTCAGTAAACTCAGCGACCATAGCAGCGTGATCCRCAGTGGGGCCTTCAGTTCGTGGATGCTGAGAGAATGCACGAGGAAAGCATGTAGATTCAATATCAGCACTTTGAGTTTTTTCTTTTATACCCTTCAGAACACCAAATAAAAATGTTGAGAACTTAAGAATAAATACATAAAAATTAACTCACCATTCCTAAAAATACAGACTCCTTTTGTTGGTGATGATGATAAGGACGTCCAGGGTTAAGATCAACTAGAGGTCCCTGTGCTCTCTGTAKAGTGTTGGGAAGGGAAGGTAATTCAGAACTGGAAGCATTGCATCAATTTGCACCAATTAGCATTTATTGAATGCTGAGTCAGTTTAAAGGACACTATATATTTAGCCTTTSACATGAGACTTCGTCTTTGTTGTATTTCAGAAGTTTTATTAATGTTCTTTCTCTGCCCTTTTAACATGAGAGTAAGACCCTTCTGAGTCACAAGAACCCCAAAGCACAACCTTCTACCATGAGATTTAGTTTTACTTTGCCCTTTCATCACCCTTTTTGAAAGGATCTCCATAATTTCAAAATTTTACATGCATAAACTTGCTCACAGCCACAATATTTGTTGACAACATTTAGCGTACTGAATCAGACCTAGCCTTGGGTGACATGACAGGTAGAAGAGAGAAAGATTAAAGCAGGTTTATCACAAAGTAAAACTTTTTTTCTTCTAAGTCTTGATATGCAACATCAATTTTTTCAGCTTACTTTGTAATGACACAATCCTGCAAACAGAAAATTAGCCTCAAGTGATGCCGCATGGGGCCCCAGTCTGGAACAAACAGGGTAGTCAGTGCTGTAGATGTATCTGGATATATGTAGACATATCTAGCATGCATATCTAGATATGCATGTATATGCATGCATATACATGCATGCTTTTGACTGTGCTTACATCAGAGCACATAGAGTATTTGGTGGACTCACCAATTGTGAATGTCTAGCTTGTTCTCCAGTCACTAGAGGAAGGAGCCCATAATGACTTCTTGGACCAAGTGGTGGATGTGGGGAAAGTACAAGGTTAGCATCTTTCACAGACCTTCTGGATTGTTCCACCTGAAAGAACAGAAAATTTTACCTCTGAGTCACCAGGTACTCTCACAGCAATGTCTGAGCTGTCTTCTGCCTGCCTGTCATAGGGCAGCTGCAAGTAACAAGCAGCTTGCTGAGACCTCATGGAATACCTGGTTAACCACTCTTCAGTCAAAGTGGAGACCCAAAACTAACAGCACACAAAGAAATCAAGGGAAGAAGGAGAGGATGGCCAAAGGGGAAAAGACTTATTCCTTTTCCAATTTCTTTACCTACAGCTCTCTCCAGCCTCAACCCAATTCACATGCCCTTCTTTCTATGCTTCTCCAATTCTTGGCCTGACTGAAAGCCTCTGTTTTTAAAATTGGAGGATCTCCTCTATCTCCACTTCCTTGCCTTGACTGCTGCCCCCTCTACTGTATTTTCCTCTCTCAGAAGCCCCACAGTGGGCTGACAGTCCTTCTGCAAATAGCTAGCTACGTCTCCTCCTCCCTTGCTCAGATATCTGTCCTTTCCTTTTAGACCATCTTTTCAGTCAAATTCACTGAGCATATGAGGTAGGAATCACTGCTAATGCCGGGCAGCTTCCTGTGCTGCAGTGTAGCAACACTCCAGAGATACAGAATACAGATCTACAGGTGTCTGCCCTACACTGCTCACTGAGCCAACAATCTTGGTTTACGTTGCAAAATCACTCAAGTCTGGAATCCTTTGACAGACAGAGAACCTTGCCACGCTCTTCCCCACAGGAACTATGCTACTTCTATCGTGGGGACTTCCTGGCAGCAGAATGCTCTTGCAGTTACCAGGGTGATCAGGGTTGCCATGAAAATTTTCTGATAATTGCTCATAATTATATTATTTAAACTTAAACAAAAAGACCTTGCTTTGCAACCGCACAAAGAAGTAATCAGCTTCTCTGTGCACTCTTTCCAGTGTGTGCAGACTCCTAATAAAGAAACAAGATGTGGAAGGTATTGCAGCCAAGATGAGAACAGTTTTTCCAAAAAGAGTCCAAGTGACTTAATTGGGAGAGCCATTGACTTCAGTGGGATTTCCATGACTGAGGCTTTGACTACGCAACACCAAAGCGAAGACTTCCAAAGCCTCATTTCATGATTTACATGCTGCTTCTGCTAAAGCAGATGGAGATGCAAGCAAGTGAAAATATGAGCTCAACATGACTCCAAAGCAGTCACAAGCACATAGTGTCTCAAATTACTGGAAGAGCTGCCACACATATCTTAAATTATTCATCGGTACCTGGTTCCCCATTTCAAAGGGGAAATAGCAAAGCCAGCAAATACAGAAAAAGTGGCAAGAGTAATGAGAAATCTGGAATGGCCCAAGTATGAAAAATTCAGCAGACTGGGGCTCTCCAGCCTGGAAAACTGAGGATTATGATAAAGGTCCTTAAAAACATGAATGCCTTAGAAAAGAGGAACAGTTAATAACTTCTTCATAATAAGAACAAGAAAATATCCAACAGCATTACCACAAGATAAATGAATTAACGTGCAGAGTGCAAGTACTGTTTCACACAACTCGTAATTAAATTGCACAGCCAAGAACACTGCAGAAGTCTGGTTCGAAAGAAATCAGACACATTCACAGAAGTCCCTGAATTGCTGGATGATGGGAGAAATGTATCCTGGGGCAGGATCATTTCTACTTGCTTATTTATTGTGCTTGTTCCATAAGCACCTGCCACTGTTGGAGCCAGGATATTTGGCCCAGTGAATCTCTGGCCTGACTCATCACGGCTGCAGTTTAGCACAGCACGACTGCCAGGTCCCACCAGTACTCATTACCACTTAGCCCTTACCTTGATTTTTTGCACCCTTTCCTTCCTCACAAAATTTTCAAGTCTCCTTTTTATTTCCAGTTGATGATGACGCTATCAATGTAAAAGAAAGAGAAATCTCATCAATTAGGACACTGAGGTATCAGCGAGTACCAGAATGCTTGGTTCTGCTCTGCCCATCACTTGCATGCTCCCTGGTCAGCATCCTCATCGAAGCCCAGTACAAAACTAATATTGATTCAGCCCCTTTGCACTATACCTGTGTGTGTTAATACTGTCAAGGGAACAACTGAGCAATTTTGAGGTCATAGGGACCAACTCAACTCTTACATTTAAAATATGCAGTTCACATGCAACAGGAATGTCCCCAAACTTTGTACTCAGTTAAGATATAATATTTTCAATCATTTTCAAAAATTAAACAAAAATAAATCAAACAAATGGGCTTTGCAAATTCATAATCCCATAACCTATCAATTTGAATTAATTTTATCTTTTTGTAAGTGTAAAAAAAAAAAAAAGAAAGAAAAAGAAAAAAGTAGATTAAGATATATCCCTACATTTCAACTGTAACCTTTAATTTTTTCATGTGGCATGAACATTCCAAATGACATGATCTCTCTGGAGTGCGGACGCGGACTTATCACTCTGTGCTCTGTGGTCACTGTCTGCCTACATATTTTGGGGGAAAATGAGAGGAGCAGATTAGGACTTGAGTAGCTCAGATCTCCCACTGATTCCTTTCAGCCTGTATTCCAGTGGAAATGTACTCATTAGCGCCACAGCAGTAGCACASTATTTTTTCCTCCACCTTCATCCTTCATGTACATAAAAGGGCCATCTGGGACAACCTGCCCTTACTTACCAGGACACAGGCTGAAGAGCATATGGGGATGATGTTCTGGGGTCCCCAGTAACGCACTGAAACCAGTTCAGCCATTGAGTCACCCCCAAATACAACAGCCAAGCAAAAGCTTTGATTTTGGAAAGACATGCTTACCACTTGTCCAACCTAGGGCACAGAGGGTAGGATCCTCTCTCAGAGACTACTCAGCCTCTTCTTTGTGCATACGGTAGCAAAACACTAAAGAAAATCTTGCCTTTAACTACTGCAGTATATTGTGTGGGAAGGCACTTGTCCCACGATGACTGCTGCCATACACACAATGGCTGGTGCCACACAGAGACCAGCAAGGGCACCCCCTCCTCAGCACTGTGCATTCTCTGGCCAAGGTTCAGCGACAATAGGTGTAATATCTGACAGCACGTGCTTTACCAGCAATCAATATCCAGTAAGACTGGTAGCTCTGATGTGTGCCGCACAACCAGGGGGGCTGCAGCTCCGGGAGCATCCCGCCTGCAGCAAGGCTCATTGACGGCGCTGCACCCRCAGAGCCGGCCCAGCGCACCTAGGAGTGCCGATACAGCACGGCAGCGAGGTGCCAGTGCGGACAGCGCGGGCATCCTCGAGCACAGAGAAGCAAGGGTGCACAGYGGGCAGCCCCTCGAAGGAATGCTGGGCGTGGGAAGAAGACTAAGGGTGCCTCACTGTCACCCCTGGAGGAGAGAACACCTACCTCCATGTCAAGGACCTTATGAAATATGGCCTGAGCCAAACACTCCTGTACATATTTCTGGTGGTCCTTCCTCATGGCATTTAGCCGGTACTCCTTCTCGGGTATTATTCTTCCACTCTTTGAGATCTGGCATAAACAAACAAAATGCAAGTAAAGAGGAAACCAGAGGACAAAGAACATCTAAACAGAGACAACAGCCCAGGACAACGCTGGGAGCCCGGCTGGGTACACGGGAGCTGCCAGCCCCGCGGCACCGCATCTTGCCGGCACTGATCGTAGCAGCGCCCTGGGTGACACCGGGACAGGACAGACGGGCTCCGCGTTGCGGTGCCGCGTGGCCTGCGCCTRGCACACTCATGTCACGGCTTGGCTGGCTGATTCCTATCAATAGCAACCTATCCCTCCTACATAAAAAGAAACAGTGCAACCTTCAGGGTTCTGCCTTTTGCAGTATCCAAAGAAATACAGAMTTCTTCCTTCACAAAAGGAAATTTTTCAGTCTCACCAGTCCTGATCTCTGCAGATGTCGTCTTATCCTCCTGTTGCTGAAATATCCAGCCAAGTGTTTGTCTGTAAGGCTGTTATAGGTTGTAAGAAACCTGAAATAAAATCAATATAGATCCTTTAAAAATACCTTTTGACACCCTAAATATTACTTTATAACTTTAGTAAAAAGAACTACCCAATAGCTTGCTGCACAAAATGATGCCTTGAAGATTCAAGYCCAGCCTTTCCTCAGATAAAGGCCCATTACATTATGCAAAAGTAACAACTCCTTGCTCTATRAAGCTTCATATTAAACAGCTGAGTTGAGGGGGGAGGGAGCAGCCATCGGAACACAGGGCGCCAAGCAGCCAACCGCCCCATGAGAGCCCGACTTTGCAGCTCCCATTCAAGAGCACTTCCCAGGAGGGCTCCCACAAACGAGAAGCACCGAGTCCTGGCAGGGTGACAAGTTACCTGGCAGCCGCACTCGGTGCCAGCCCGGAGACAGGTGCCGTTGGGATCCCAGAGCTGGTTCCCGGCTGGCGGCTCCCCAGACCCGGCCGTGCGGCTCCTCGACGGTGCCAGCGTGCAGAGCCTCGGCGGGGCACGGGGCCGCCGCCAGGCCAGCCTAGGACCGAGCGGCCCGAGCTCTGACCAGTGCTGCTTTCTTCGTTTTATCTGCATTCTTCAGGCAGAACTTACCTCGGGCACCGCCTTGGCCTCCACAGACCGCTATGAACCTTCAGCCCCTGCCGCATTCTGCGCGTGAAGCCATGCGGAGCGCGGCCACGGACCAAAGTCCTCCCCGTGCACACATGCCCCGCGGGCTCTCCTTTCAGGGGCTTYACGTTGCTTTCCTTTTTCTCCATCTAACCTATCCTAGTGTCAAGCTACTGAGGAATCTTTGTGCAGACACTCAGAGAAAACATTGTCACTTATTTTGTCCGATCACCACCCGTGGAGGTTTTCAGGCTAACACCTCGTCCAGTCTCACGGATGACCCTCCTGGGAGGGGATCAGGCCTGCAGCCCCCAGAGGCTGCTTCCCACCTGGCCTACCTTCTCACCTGGGATGTTCAGCAGTGCTTTCCTAGACTAACGAGCTCTGTGATCTCCCGGCGCGGGCCCCTGGAGTCGCGGGGAGCGCAGTGGCTCTGCCCCTCACACCTCGTCCCGTCTCCCCTATCTGCAGGTCTGCGGGCCTCACGGCCTGGCAGCGAGACACGGAGCACATTCACTCCACACACGTTTAGCGTGACACAACCRGCCGTAGCACAACTGCTTCCCAGGGCTGCGGGGCCGGGCCGGGTGCCGAGGGGCAGCGCTCCGCCTGCCCCGGCCCCAGAGAGCGCCCGCCCGCCCGCGCCGCACTCACCCCGCCTGCGGGCCGCTCATGGCTACGGGAGCGCCGCAAGCCGCGCGGCGCCCGGCTCGGCACCGCTCGACCCCACTCGGTTCGGTTCGGCTCGGCTCGGTTCGGTTCGGCTCGGCCCCACCGCCCCCGATACCGCCAGAGCGGCGCGTCCGGCCGTTGCTAGGGCACGGCCACGCTGTGACGCGAGAGGAGGCGGGCGCAACCCCAGGGACCAATGGGCGACCGGCACCTGCCCCCGACCGCGCGGATTGGCTGCGCGCGCCGCCACTCGCTCCGGCGCGGCGGCGCGGCGCCCCCTGGCGGCCGGGCGCGGGGCAGAGCGCGGCCCGCCCCATTCCCCGGCCCCGTGTCCCGCTCCTGTACAGCCCGGTGCTGTGCCCCGGTACCGTACACCCTGCTCCTGTACACACCGGTGCCGCACACCCTGGTGCTGTACACACTGGTGCTGCACACACCGCTGCCGCGCTGCCGTACACCCGGCTCCCGCACACCCCAGTCTCAGTGTGGCTGGAGAGCACAGCCGCAACGGCAGTCTGGGTTGTTTCCTTCCGCTGCTCCACTAGCCCTAATGGAAGCAAGGTCCCATGGGSCACCCGCGGGTCCTGACATGAGGCCCCTGTGGCACCTCTGACCGTGCACGGCCCAGGAGCTGCTCACTGCGGCTGCAAACATTCGAGCACCGTTAGTTCACTAGGGCCGTCCGACTCTCTGCAGCATCAGATATCAGGTATAAGCATTGCCAACACAGCACGAGCTGCAGCCTCAAAGATTTTACCACATTGTTGCCTTTTATCTATCTGGCATTGCCATTTTTCTTGGTTATTGCTCAAGTTTCTCTTCCTATACTATGTGCACCCCTACATGAGCGGTGAAAAGAGCATCCCTTTCAGGAGGAACTTGTGGACCAAGCACGGCTGTGCGCTGTAATAAAAACCCAGCGCAACTGCGTGTAGCAGCTGACCCCGGCCAACAATGGCAGTGCACGGTGCATCCCGCTGCCACCACAACTGAGGTACTTACTGTACACAGCTGCCTTCCTCTCCACCCCGGCCCAAACTGCTGCCTTGAAAGGCTTGGTGCATCCTGGGCAACCACTGCTGAACCACCAGCCCAAGTCCTGCTGGAATCCACATGCAACGGGCCATCACCAAGAGGAGTCATCCCCTGGAGCTGGCCGAGCCGAGCGGGCCCAGCCCAGGGCACCGCCAGCACCCAGYGCAGCCGGCCTGGCCCCGGGTGCTGCGCCACACTCACTGCTCCGAGCGCCCCGGGGTCAGCAACCGCCTGCTACCACACATGGATCTGCTCTGAAACGTCTCAAGTCTGGGGATGTCGCGTTTTAGAAACTCCCTGCTTCTAACTACGGCCCTTTCTAYGGGCCTCCATTCACCCTCTGCAAAACTAGGATAGTCATATTGCTTCAGAAGGCAGCAAGAGGATTAACTGCCTTTTATGCCATGTTTTGAATATATGAAGTCCTAGCAAGCACAAAATATTATTTAGCCTTCGGAGATTCATTTGGTGACATTTTGTCATTGTTTAGAGAGGAGTTCATGAACATTTCCCTGAGGGACATGACAAGATTCTGCCCACCCCTGCCCCTCTGTCACTGAAAGCTGTTCAGTAGCCTGCTCATTCCTTGGTGGTAAACACACAAAAACATATGTTTGATACGTATAGATACATATATTTTAAGACTTGCAGCTAGTTGTGGCCCCATGTTTTCAGACAATGCTGGTATATCTGCATTCAGACTGCTGTGCACAAACATCCTCCRTTTAGCTATTCTGTTTGCACACAGCAGCCCCGGCTTTGCACAAACAACTCTGACACTTTATCCTATGTTTTGTACCTAGGATTAGATGTTTCTGCCTGCTCTACAACTGCTATCTTTGGGATATGTTYGCATTGGCTTTCCAAGTTCTCAACACAAAGGTCAAATATATACATATATGTGTGTGTGTGTGTGTGTATACATATAGAAAAAAAAGCAGACAGTATATAAGGAAACTGAACATCRCCAATCTGCACATCATCTTCACAGCCATCTCCATTATGAATGACTATCTTACCTGCTATTTAATACCTTAACATGAAGCAAAGTCTTATTTTTCCTGACACTGTCCTCGAGGGGAACTGCAGATTTCCTACATGCAATCACTACCTCAAACTGCATTCCGCCTCACTGAATAGGAATAATCAGCATCTTCCAGCTCAATAATCAGCTAGAAAATTACTTATCCTCATTGCTCACTCTGAAGCAATCAGTCTTTGGCCTTCAAATTCGGAATAAGTGAAGATAAAGCTCCCTCCTACTATGGAAAGCACCACAGATAAGGAAACACTTTCTATTCACTTGGGCATCTGCACAGAATTAATGAATGAAGTATCCTACTGTACCTGTGGGAATCAGGAGGCAGGGTACCAATTTGTTGTTTTACTAGAGCTGAATCCTCCTAATCCTTTTCTCTGCTACCAACTATGTCCAAAAGCATTTACTGAAACATTAGTTTGTAAACATTAAGTCTAGAAATAGTTTTCTCCCCCAGCAAAACAATCTTCAGTTTGATGTAATGGCTTTAACATAGGAATGTTACCCGCTGTAAAAGCCAGCAGCAAAATTAGACCAAGTCCCTTATCCTGTTTTTACAAAACACAGGGATACACCCGATACAAACGTAATCCAAACAAAGCCCAAACTTATTAGCATACTTAACTTGCCAGAAGGTTTATAACATCATGAAGCAATTATTTAACTCTGTATAGCTAAACTGCCTCACACTTACATTTGCACAGAAGAGATAGCATTGTAATTTAACTGCTCCAGAAAACAGAGCTCAGCAAGTTCACAAAAGCAGTTACATGACAAACTGCTTGAAAAACATGAGGGCTAAGCTCAGTAATGCAGGATGCTCCAAGTCTTGTGTTTAATAATGAGATTTAATGTAGTAGTATCTTGTCATCACTCACCCTCACCAGAAATACAAACACACTACTTACTTAGATTCTGCTGAATTAATGTTGCTGGAAAATTTTCTGTATCAGTGAATAGTGATATGTCTATCCATTTATGTTACGCTATAAAAAAAAGAAGAAAGATCCACTGGTAAGTTTAAAACATGTGATAAAAGTCCTGAGTAAAACTAACAAGGAAACAAATACACCTTTCCTCATCTGAAATAGCCTCACATCGCAGAACTGAATCTTGAACTTGGAATGGTCTCCRACCTGCTAAGCACTTAATTCAGCACACAGGAGATGCACTTGCACCATGACCTACCTGGTGTCAGATGAAGCAAGMCTTCCTCGGAGTTTACTGCCCATTTCTTAACCTCACTGCAAACCCATTCTACACCAAGCTACACCAGCAAAGCTATTTTCATGTCAGCCAAGAAGTCACAAAAATTTCTTCAAAGCATATGCAACTCTTTATTACAAATACAGAATAGATTCTTAATGAAATATATGCACGCCATCATCTGCTGTTACTCCCAAATGGCATGATTTGCAAATCAATGGCATGATTTGTAAAATATGTTCAGTGAATCATGTAAGCAAAGGTGCAACTAGAACACCTACAGAAACAAAAACTAGAAAAAGCCTCTACGGAAGGAGCACCATCTTTCCTCGAGCGCCACTGCTGTGAATAATGTCTTCGTGAGCCTTGGCTACATTTTCCAAGGGATATTCAGAACCTATTCCTGGTTTCAGCCAGCCAGCTTCTATACCATCAAGGACTGCTGCTGCACATTCATTTTTCTCCTCCTACATACAATAAAGACAACATTTATTGTAAGCCCTGTGCATTTTAGAGTACTATTAAATATTTATGTAATCATTAAACCAAATTTTACAACTCAAAGATATTTTAGAAGGATCTGAGATTAAATCAAAATGTAAAACAATGAATAAATATTATTTACAGTGAAAGGTCAACAAGACATTCTTCAAAATAATTATTTTCTTACCTGAGTTCCAAGAAATAGAGAAACTCCAATTATGCTAGATTCTTTGCTCATAGTGTCTCTTGGATTTATCTCAATAGAACCTCTACAGCCCACAACCTGTTACAACACAGGTAAAACATAATTTCAGTTAAAATTGTTAAACAGAATTGCCAAATATGCAAACTCAAGTAAATGACAGAAAATACTCACCATCACCCTTCCTCCATAGGCCAACAGATGCAAATCAGTAGCAAGATTGACATTAGACAGCATTTCTATTATAATATCAACTCCTTTTGTCCCTGTGTATTCCTATATAAGATAAAATACAGTACTAAAATCATTCCAATTAATATTTAGGTGCCTCTGCATATATCTTATGCAAATTTTATACTTCATTATGTAGATTTCATAATACAGCCTTTATACTAAGGCTGACAGCTAATAAGTTTACCCTGTCGATATGCTATCATACTGTGATTTGCTGAAATTGAAGAGTTTCTAAATGCCCTTATCTGAGGRAAAAAAAAAAAAATCAGGAAAAGTTTTCTATTGGGTAGAAATGAAAAGGGCAGCAAGCTATTGCCCTACATAAATCTGTTTAAAAAAAAGATCAGCAAAGAGCTTTTTACATTGTATAAATGCTAATAAGAATAGCACATACTATATCGCCCAGGTCTGATAAATAGTTACCGTAAGGTGACATAGTTACCTTAATCTTCTCCACGTAATTAGCTTCTCTGTGATTAAATGCTTGGTGAGCACCATTCCTCAGAACCATGTTCATGCCCTCCGCAGTCCCTGCAGTGCCCAAAACCTTCAAGCCCCTGGCTCTGGCCATCTGACACGCTGCTATTCCCACCTGCGGGAGCGGAGGACAAAAAAAGCCACACATCTTTCTCTAGTATCTCCTTCCTTATTTTAAATTTCATATATCCTACCAGCAACTTGAAATGTAACCATTTAGAAAACTGAAAAATTGGACCCATTGGACCCAGGGGATCATTTTCTTTCC